ATATATATATATACGACTATATGCAGAGTTATGATGTATAAGGATGTCTTTTTAAAAGTTCATAATTCCTGGGTCAGATGTTTTGGTGTTAGGGTGGAGCTTTTTAAAAAATAATGGTACAAATGCATGATATCTTTTAGAATATTCTTTTCTGCCCATGGGTATTAAGCAAAAATATTGAGTACGTGGTTATAATGAGCAAGGTTGTCTCTTCCAAAACTGGATTTTATGGGCTTTGAGTCGTTCTTGTGTTAGAGTTTGGTTTTCTCTTTGCCAAATTGTCTTTATCAAGAAATTTAGCACCCTCTTTGCCTCTTCGTTCGGAATAAATTTTCGTATTTTGTCGTATTAATCTAATGTCAGTTTACTGTTTATCCATACATGATTATCAAACTTTGTCCATTGATGCACATTTGGGTCCGTTGAGAGTTTACAGTATATCAACGCACTTAAAAGTAGGAGGCTATCTTGACCTAGTTTTGAAATTTTTACGCTACACCGAAATATTTCAGTCACAAAATGGCTTTTGCCTTTAGTCACATTTCCCGGCCGATGCTCGTAGACTGATGATAATCGGTGGCATTATCCGTGGTGTGAGTGATGCCCCAACATCGGTCCATATCGGTCTAGTAGTCCTTAAAATATCAGTCACATTATCCAGCAATGGAGTATACGGTGGGCAACCATTGCGTTTTTTGATAAAAATGGCGTGGTTGCCGGCCGGACTTGCAAAGGCCCAATGATGCATTGCTTATCATAAAACAATGATCCAGGGTAATCCGCCGATGTATATTACATCATTAATACATTGGTGATCATCGTTCGTACGTCGGTCGACTATGGGCCAATGTTTGATTGAACATCGACCGATGATTGGCCGATGTCTGTTTTTTCGCACTTAACTCGTTGATACACTGTTTGCATGTTCTAGCTATGGAACTTTAAATTGTCCTTAGAAGTTTCGTGTAAGATGTTTTACTACACTTCCTACTTTTTATTATATTGATTGAGATGTGTTTTTAACAGGTACTTCGTGTGAGACTAATCTTGATGTTTGCCGATCCAATCCCTGTTTCAATGGAGGAACCTGTGTTTCGAATGGCAATGGCTTTCACTGTACTTGTCCCTCATGTAAGTTGAGGACCCGATGATATCATTTTTTCAGTTCCAACTCCTTCAAATATATGTTTGTATATTTGAACAAGGAGAGAAAAACAATGAAATTTATAGCAAGATATTAATGTAATGTTTTCATTAATATTTTGACTTTGTAGTGAGTAATTGCACGATGGAAGCAAAGCCAGGAAGTTTTGTTGTTGCTGATGATAAAAGTACATTAACAGGAAAGAAAAGTCTAGATTTATGCAAACAAGAATGTCTTGGAGATGGACAATGCAAAGCTTTATATCATACCAGAGGGTTCTGCTATATCATTAGACAAGATGCTACTCCAGAGCAGTACACAACTGATACCGCTTCATACTTCTCCAAATCCTGCCTATACAAATATTGTAAGTATGAATATGCACTGAGTAATTAAAAACAAACAATTTTTATTTTTGATATTATTCTGATGGTTTGTCCTATTTTCAAATAAATGAACAGATACACGTTGTATTATCACCTTTTGTGATTGTGGTGTGGAAATAATCCCTTAATTGTTTAATCCGGACACATAGACGCACAATATGCATACATGCACTTTTCACGCATGCAATGAAAGTTGATGTAAGAAATAAGTGATTTTTAGAATAATTGATATGCAAAAATTTGATCAACTGTAATTATCAGAAATTTAAAAGTTAATGTACACTTAAATAATTATGATTTAGGGTGGGATAAAAAAAAAATGAGATCAAATTTTATATCTGCTTACATGAGGATAGTTCGAAAAGTTAGTTAACCCTGACAATCTTTATTTGACATTTTATTATACATATTAATTTTTATTTGAATTATGTCTAAAGTTTAAAGTGATTTAAATGTATTACTCAATTTAAAGCAATATGAGCTGCATTTTTAATCTTTTTTTTTTTTTTTTTGCTGTTACACGTAAAGCTGTTAAAGCGTGCTTTTATTATAAAGTTGTTTGTTGTAATTTAAAACAAAGCATTAATTTGTTTTTAGAAGTATTATAAGATTTCTGAACAATTTAATGTATAGTATCATGTAAGAATCAATGCTGTACAGGATGACATTTAATAGATTTTGCTTTAACTCTTTACAACTTGCTGAACTGTTTTGCAGCATACACTTGATGTTCACGTCATAAAAAAAGAAATTTACCATTTCCCCGCAAGCACCTTATAGCGTGGTACACGTTTCTCTAAAGTTTAGAGTAAATAATATTATGACGTTATATTTTAATACAAAAATAACTTTTCTTGTTTTATGAGATTTTCACAAGTATAAAATAATCCGACTTAACTCAATATGAGTTAAGGTAGTTCGATCCTCAGGTTTATAAAATTAGCAGTTAAGTAATAAAAAATACTCATAAAAATAGCTCTGAATCCACAAAGTTATGTAAATTTATCCACAGTATTTCTTTAAAGTTAAAGGTCAAAGTTAATCATATTATATAGGGAAAATTGTAAAATCTCCAATATGTTTGCAGAAAAAGCGAATTGGAATATCAGCTATGCATTTTCTAATTGCAAATTGATCAACAAATATATTTTAGGCTAAAAAACGATAGGTATCCAGGCATTCAGAGAAATTGTCATGATTTTTATACTTATTTGGTATTTTTTGTCTTCTATTTCCGTCATGTATACTGTAATACATAGTGTAAAAGGCTTTTGCTATCACTGCAAGACACCATAAATCACTTCTTATTTCATATCATGCTAATAAGCATTGGTTTCTAAGGCTGGATTCAAGAAAATCTTGTTTCTCTAAAACCGTATTAATTTTTTCCCCTTTTATAGGGTAAAAATGTCAACTTTTATAAGACCTTTTCAAAGACTTCCAAAGACCTTGAATCTTACAAAGATGAATAAAATGAAAATTGTTGCATGAAAAAATTTCACTTTCAAGCTTAATTTTGATGCGTTTCAAATTAAATGTTAATTTTTGGAGTTATGCTTCCTGGCTGAGGATCGGATATCCTTAAGTCCCGTTATGGAGACAAATACTGAAATAGAGATAAAAAGTTCAGGGAAGATAACTCTCACTTGCAAATGCACTGACTACATTTAGCCACATCTATTACGCATGTGCATTTGCTCTTCCTTTCCATCTTCCGTCATCCATTGAAGTTCAGCATCGAATTTAGTCTCAACAATATTCATCTTCATCTTGTGTTCCTTTGTCTTTCCAACGACGGAAATATGAACATATTCAGGGCAAATAGATCCTGGACTAAACGCCCATCCATATTACCCGATGTGTGAATAATATCTAAAGTATCAACATCCCCAACGAGGATATTAACCACGTGTGCAGCAACCATCGCAGTAGATGAACTCTTGTTTGTGAACATGACCTCAGTGTATCAATACCTTGGTGAAATCAAACCAACTTTTCGTTGTTATTAAAACCAACGTTTACAAATAGTGCCCACATTTATGAGACATTACAAATAGCCACCATGCAGTGATCACGTGCCTGTTGGATCCGCCACAACATAGATCGGTGTCACATATCATCGGGTTCGGACTGCAAAATATTCTATCCATCATGGCTTCCGTGTAAACATGTGTCGGTAAAATTGTTTTAATTTTTGTTAATATTTACTTGCCATTTAATTGAATTAGTTTGTGCATCAATCAGCTGATCTCTTGACAGTCTTGTAAATTTTTACACTTTTGCTTGTCTTGATATATATGCTATTTATTCAATGTTTATTTATTTAATTTTGCTTTGACATCACCTAATATTTACTTGCCATTTAATTGAATTAGTTTGTGCATCAATCAGCTGATCTCTTGACAGTCTTATAAATTCTTACACTTGTGTTTGTCTTGATATATGCTATTTATTCAATGTTTATTTATTTATTTTTGCATGGACATCACCTCGATCATCACCACCATTGTTTGTGCCTCCATGTTTTATACTGGTTGAGAAAAATTTTTGAAGTAAGAGTCACAGATCAGGGAGTGTGAGAGGTTCCAGATTAACAAGAGGTAAAGCTATGACTGATTGAGAAGGGAACCATCTAATGATCAGGTTCATATACCATATATTTGGTAAGATTTGGGTTTAGTGAAGTTTGTGTATATTGTGATGTCTATATGTGTTGTAAATAGAATTTCATTTGGATACTATAAAAGGAAATGTTCATAGTGAAAAGTAAAGTATTTTATGATGATGAATTTGCGCAATATAATGCATGAAATGTTAATTTTACAAATCCTTAAAAGTTACAAGGAGAATGGAATTATTTTCTTGAGTAAAATATTCAGTGTCTAACGTTTACAACTGCATGCTCCTTGGATGTTCCATGACGACATCTTACTTTGGGGGGGGGGGATTCATCTAAATTCCATTGGATTGTCAGTTAGTAGGTGACAAAATTAAATAACTAACTACATAAATAAAATAATAAATAAATGAAATAAAATAAATGAATAAATTCCAAGGATTCCTTATGGAGTGTTAGAACTACTTAAACATTTCAACAAACTTGTCAGGAAATAGGAATTCCAATTAATGCAGATTAATATTGAAGGCCCAACCACTTATTTAAAATAAATAAATAAATAAATTCCAAGGATTCCTTAGAGTCTTAGAAACTACCTAAACATTTCAACAAAATTGTCAGGAAATAGAAATTCCAAATAATTCAGATTAAAATGGCAGGCAACACATTGTATTTAACATAAAATAAATAAATGAATAAATAAATTTCAAGGATTCCTTAGAGTGTTAGAAACTACCTAAACACTAACAAACTTGTCAGAAAATAGAAGTTTCAATATTAATTCAGGTTATAATTGAAGGCCCAACCACTAATTTAACATTTCTTGTTCTAGTTATAAATTCCACAAGCCAAGTTGAGGTTCAAGTTCAATTTATTCACTCAAACCATATAAGTGGTACATGAGGTTCAACTAATTATGTACAATATATACAAAAAATAATATACAAGATACACATGAAATGGCGGAAATACATTCTTATGAAGTAACAAAAATAATTATGCCAAAACATATTCATTCCAGAGCACATTTGTAAAGAGTTAAAATTGGTTTGGCTGATTATTGTCTATTTCAAGAAGCCCACCTTTCAAATGCAGTATTGTTCAATGCTGTGGCCTTTGTCATTCAATTTTGGCTAAACAGTAAAGTTTTATCAGGAAGTATGGCATGTAGCTCAAGATTTTACATTGCAGCTTTAGCCCATAATAAAAAAAAATAATAAAAAAAATAAGAATAAAAAAAAAATAATAAAAAAAAGATAATAATAATATTAATAAATTAATAAAGAGATAAATAAATATATAGACAAATAAATAAAATTAAGTTAATTAATTGATTAAATAGATAAAAAAAAAAAAATCCACATTTTGTCAAACCAAGAAACATCTTCATTATTTGAAATACTTCACATCTACTTGTCAATTAGACCCAACATTCCACGTTCAGTTTATTTTCTTAACTAAGCGTGAAGCCTTCTCGTCATTCCAATTTACTTTAATGCTACAGAAATTTATTTCATTTGTTGGCTTTGACACTAAAACATTTAAGGGTAATACTCTTAGAATTTGGGGGGCTACACACTTTAATTTATCAGGCTTGTCTGAAGATTATATAAAGATTCAAGGGAGATGGAAGTCCATGCATTTCAGACTTACATTCAATTTTAGTCAGTCAGACACTTGTCAACACCTTTTTACTGTTTTTCAACGTATCCTAAGGTTGCAGGCACCTCTGTCATGGTATCGATTATTGCATCATCTTTAAAAGTATTATGCAAAAAACCACACATTCATCAATTTAAATAATGCGAATTGGACAAAGAACAATACAACATCCATATCAAATGGTTTGGTCAACAAGGAATGACCTGGAAAAAGGACCAACCATTCAAATATTCGAACTCTGGTGTCATAATACGACAATTTACCCCACATGTCATAATGATTCATTGTGGGTAATAGTATTCAGGTTCCATGTCCCTTTGCCATCTACAAAAGTTTATCAAGTTGTCTGTCTGGTTTTCGATTATGTTTAAAACCAAGGTTAAAATTTATTGGGTCACAAATACTGCCAAGAAATTATTTCAGGCCCATGTTGTCACACAAGGCTTGCATTAGGATAAATAGTTCATTTATACTGGTTCATAACCACAAGAGGTAGGGGTATATTCACTACCCCGATATTCAACAGGGCTCATCAAAATTGTATCCAGAGGGTGTCCACCTTTCTCATAGAGTACATTCTACCATTATCCTCTATACCATTAAGTGTGACATAATCAAAATAATTTGTCAAAATTTCCAGTGCTACCTACCATTTTCATTTAGTTATTGATCATTACATGTATTATTGATATTTACAACTATTGATCTTTTGAACTATTGAACAGTTATTGATCATTACATATATTATTGATCTTTGCAACTATTGATCTATTGAAAAGTTATCGATCATTACATATATTATTGATCTTCATATAAATTTCCCTAGTTCTACGGTATACTGCATATATATCAAGCAGTAATTAATTTTGCATAACTGTAATAAATAGCAGTTTTGTCATGGCATGGGCAAAATTTGCCGCATGTGGCGGATGTCTTCACATGCCGCGCTTTATTAGCTCCCATGTGAAGACATATGGCCGAATTTTGCTAGGAGCTCGCTGCTGATCCTGTTATCTTCCAGGGCCAGTTGCCAATAATTGAGATTCCGTCATTGTGCCATTGCTATTGATTCTACGTCATATACTATTGATAAAGTCGACGTAGACCATTGTCTTTGTAATACATTGCTACCTGCTCATTGCAATTCATTTATCATTCAATATCATTGTATATCATTGTATATCATTGAATATCATTGCATATTATTGCATAACATTGCATATCATTGAATATCATTGTACCCATTGTGTATTAATTATTCAATATACACTTTGTGTACATCATTGGATTGATACTTTATGTACATCATTGTAGAGATACCTTGTGTACATCAATGTATTCTTTGTATTGATGATTCATTTGACTATTGATTGTATTGATGATTGATTTTGACTATTGATTGTATTGATGATTGATTTGAATATTAATCAATAAAGCCATGACAAAAACTGCCAATCATTCTCAATCTATTTTGTCGACATAACAGGAAATTGGCATTAAATTAAAAATTAAATGAACTTTTTAAAGTGCGTGAAAATGCGTGGTTGCGGGGAAACGGTATATGCGTGATTTTGCGTTAGAAATAGGAAATGGTGCTTGCGTTAAAACGCGTGACTGCGGGGAAGGGGGTTAATCAAAGCTTATAGATTCCGGTCGGCAGGGGAAAATTCTTCCAGAGCACCTGTGATCCCACCTCTTATGTTTTGGAGGTCTTTGTTTGCTCTGCTCCTATTTTGTATTGTTTTGTGGACTTATGAACTTGAATACCATTCGTAATCTCCATAATTTATTACTTAAAAATCTTAATCATAAAATTCCCGTCTTCAAATTTGCAGCTTATATCGCTTTACAAATCATCATTTATATTGTAATCATGGACTAGACTTACAGCATTGTAACGTCAAAACAGACTGTCATGGGTTTCTCAAAATTTCTCTCTCTACACATTCCACCCACAGTCTAGCCCAATGCCAACTCATTAAGAATGGTTTTTCATCACTTGAAATGTATTATTCTTACAATTGTATATGTAGAATAATTTTGTTTGTAAATGTTTAGCTATTTTTATAGCCTAAATGTGCTTTCATAAGATCAGCATCTGTGAAATGCCTATCAATTCTTATGATTCACATGATTTTATTATCACTTTTAATATATTTACCCACTTTTACCTGACCAACCGTATGTTCACAGTTGGTCCTCGTCTGATTCAACATTCTTTTCATTTGTGACCATTACACACACTTTACAGCTATCTTCTCAAATATTTCCTGCTCCAAATAGCATTTTCAGAAATACAGAGGGAAAAAGCTTTAAACATTGTGACTCGGGTGAACATTGCTTGATTAACTTTTTATCGTGTTGTATATTGTTAGTATATAGTGGTAACCAGTGTGAGACAGACTTAGAAGATAAGTGTACACCAAACACTTGTAGTTCTCATGGAATGTGTCAGGACAGAGCGGGAGAGCACCCTGTCTGTCTGTGCCCTGTTGTTGGGGAGTACTCCCAACCAAGGTAAGTACTGCATACCCACAATAGATGTCGCGCATAGTGTTGGGGTTTTAACGAGGCCCAATCTAGTTGGAAATTAGAAAAACAGAATGATAAAAATTTTTAATTCTTGGAAATATATTTGTATGTATTGAGCCAAGAAAAATTAGAATGAAATTTTGATACCTTGCCTTTATTGGAGTCGAATGGAGGCACTATCAAGATATGGACCATGTTTCGTGTTTTTATACATAATTACATAGTAAAACTCCCCAATAAACAAAGAGATTGGCAAATTAAAAAAATATATGATGAAATTTTTTGTTTTTCATATAATATATCATGCAATTTTCATTCCTCTTTTAAAAAATGAACAGAAAATTAGAGGTAGCCTTTATTGTAGTGAAAAGAGGGCATATCAAAACACAAAAATAAGAATTATTTTATCAAACTAGATACTTTATAAGTCACAAAAGGGGTACATTTTATCAACAAACAATTGTAACACTGTATTAGTTTCTAAAAAATAAATAATTCTTACATTATGAAATAATTTTTTTTCTCCATGCTTTATTTTTTTTAAACAAACGACGTTAATGGGAAAAAGGGGGATGGGTGGGCAAATTTACGAATTTTACTGATATCATACAATATATAGAAAAATAAAATATTTTGGGAGTTGCATTTTAATGATTCATAGATTTAATTTTTACTTAAGCTAATCCATGCATATTTAAGTCCTAAATACAAGAGGGTGCGTATAAACAGTTCAACATGTTTCAAGAGAAAAATTGTTTCTATTTTTTTGCAGTGTTTGTTTTTTTTTTCTAACTCACAAATTGAACTAAAACAAGATAAAATTGATCAATTTGTATAAAAAAATCGATACCTAAAAAAAGTTATGTTCCAAAGTTATTTATTTATTTAAAAATATTTAAAAAAAAAAACATGTAAATAATAGAATTCGAAATGCCAGAATGAACCAGCTTTCAACATGCACAGTCTAAAGAGCTACCAGGTATGCAAAATCAGCGAAACATTTTAGCGCAATTTGACGTCATTTTCAATATCTTGACCGATTCCGACTGTTCGTAAAATTGGAAGCATTCCATAATATGCCGTGATCTTGACGTGTAATAGAAAAATAAGGTAAGTTTGTTTAAGATGTTATGCTATAATTACTGTTATACTAATGTACAAATCAAGAAGAAGTCAATTGTTTCTTTTAAAAAATATGAGCAAGTTTTAGGAGAGATTGATAAAACGATTTTGATGTCTAGTCGGTTTTGTTACTACGACACAAAAATGCGTATGAGGGTATTTTACGGGACGTATATCATTACAATGAAGTGCATTGAAGTGGTTAAATTTTCCGTTCGAATGGGACGTTTTGAGATCTCTTTAGAACGTTGATAATCATATGAAGTCACGCCTATTTCTTTAGAAAGGGATAAAACGGTCACATTGTTTATATTCGAATACCTGTAGGTACGGGTATTCGAATACCTGTAGAACAGGTTTTCCGTAAATATAATAGCCAATCAAATTGACGATCTACATGAACACCGAGTAAACACGTGTTCGACCAAAACATTTGTTTTGGTAGCTCCAATAGACAGGATTAATTCAAATTAAATATGTGGATATTCGTTGCAATGCGTGTTTACAGAAGCAAGGAGTCTCTAACTCCCAGTTCTATTTTTTAAAAGCTCCATTTTAGTGCATCTCATGTTGCTAGTCACAGAGAGTGGATTGTCCAAAAGCATCATTTCTTTCAAGTTTCTAAAGAAATGGGCGTGTCATTAAGTAACAATTGACGTCCGATAGGAAACACCCAAACTTTCCATCCAAACGAAATATTTTACCACTTCAATGCGCTTCATTGTAATTTGAGCTGCATTCTCTTTTTAATAAAAAAAACTTTTTTCAGATGAAATCTTATTTTTGAAAATGTGCAAATAAATTCAATTTTGTATTTAAAGAAACACCAAAGAATTAGTCATTTTAAAGAAAACAAGAGCAGAAAAATTGGATGTCTAGTCTAATTTGTTACGGCTGAAAGTTTTGACGTTTTTACGCTTAAACGACGTAGATAATAACGTCAGAGATGGTTATTTTGACGTTACAAAATCAACCCCAATTCTGTGCTCGACGTCAATTATATTTACTTAACGATGCTTATTTCCCCCCAAAACAAAGCTTAAATTGGGATATATTTGTTACACCCATTTATGGAAGTCTCAGTCTGCGTCTCTGCATGCATTATATTAATATTAATATTATGTGACTGAGGGCATCCAGGATGTTAAAAAAAACCAACCAATATACATGTATATACATTGTAGATGTGACTTGGTAAGGAATCTGTGCGATCCTAACCCTTGTCTACATGGGGCTGAATGTCGCTCATGGGGTGCTGTCAGGATACAATGTATCTGTAAACCTGGCTACTCAGGAGTGGATTGTTCTGTTGATATAGGTAAGTAGCAAAAGTCACATTGATATATACTCACCGTCAATAGAAACGCAACACCCTAATTTTAGGGTGTAAATTATATATGGGTTATAAATATGTACCAAAAAAGTTAGGACATCTTTTACTTTGCCAAATCAGTTATTTAACGGTTGAATGAATTTCTTTCCATTACCGGAAGTTGCCTTTTAGCCCTCTTAATAGAAATCACAATTTTGCATTTTTAATAAAATTTTAAACAATATTTTGGGTTTTCAAGGTTTTGTAGCTGTTAATCATAAGTATCGTACTAAAATCCCGGGAAAAATCATTCTTTCTTTACCGGATGTTATGCCTATATTTCCTAAAAATGACTGATTTACATCCCTTATTCTGGAAATTCTCAAAATAAAGAAAAAAAGAGCTGCAGATGCAAATGTACACTATATAACGACTCATCAGGCTCATGTGTTTCCATAGCATAAATGACAGTTTCTAGACCGGAAGTCCAAGAGTTGCTACACTTCGCCAACTTAGAGAAAATTCGACCGCAGTATCTGAAAAACATGCATTTAAAAATGCCCAAGAATATTATTTTGCTCAGATTAAGACATTAATAAAAATAATGCATGGTAGAAATCGTGTTGCATTTGTCGTATATGGCGGACTAGCACGTTTTAATTAAATGGTCAGAAGGGGGGATGTTTTAAGAGTTATCGGGAATTTGTTTCTTTCTAAGGTTTAAAATTAACATTTAATGTTTAAATGAAGCATTGATTTTTTAGGTAACCTGAGTAAACTCAGGTGACCTATTGCCATCCGTTTTCGTCCGTCGTCGTCCGTCGTACGTCGTCCGTCGTGTGTTAACATTTGAACATTTTCAGCTTCTTCTCTGCAACCACTGAACCAATTTCAACCAAATTTGGCACAAAGCATCTATGGGTGAAGGGGAACAAAAATTGTGAATTTCATGATCCCTGACCCCTTGGGGCCTGAGGGGTGGGCCCAAAACCACTAAAATTAAGGCAATCTTTAAAAATCTTCTTCTTTACTCCTGGACATCAAGCAGTCAAACTGTTTGCATGATTGTAATCAGCATTGAGTCCTTTACAAAAAATGTGAAATTCATGGCCCTGGGGTCAGGGGTTCTAGTGCTAGGGCGGGGCTAAATAAGTATATAGTGAAAATGCATTATTTCTTTGGAAATCTTCTTCTCTACTCCTGGGTATTAAATAAACCAACTAAGTACATAGTTATGATAAACAAGAGTGCTTCTACCAAAATTATGAATTTTATGGCCCCAGGGTCAGGGGTTCTGGTGTTAGGGCGGGGCTCTATTGATTATATATAGGGAAAATACATGATTTCTTTGAAAATCTTCTTCTCAGCCCCTGGGTATTAAATATACTAACTAAGTGCATAGTTATGATGAACAAGAGTGCCTCTACCATAATTGTGAATTTTATGGCCCCAGGGTCAGGGGTTCTTGTTTTAGGGTGAGGCTCTAATGATTATATAGTGAAATGCAAGTTCTTTGAATATCTTATCCTTTGTTCCTGGTTAATATGCTAATGATCTAATTACATATTTAAGGGCAGGATTTATTTTATTTTCAGTTTTACAAATCCTCCGCTCAAATACAATCGCTGGAAAGTTGTTACATGATACTCAGGTGACCTATAAGGCCCGTGGGCCTCTTGTTATCCTGGTGAGCTTGAGATAATAGATACCACAGAGTCCGACACTTCTGTTTCATACTTGGATATTTTACTTGAAAAAGACACTAATGGTAATCTAACAACCAAGCTATATGATAAATGTGATGACTTTAACTTTTCTATCGTCAACTTCCCTTACTTTTGCAGCAATATACCTTCTCACCCGCATACGGAGTATATATCTCAGTTGATTCGATACGCAAGAGCATGCTCTACGTATGAACAATTTCTAATACGAGGTAAATTATTGACAAGCAAGTTGACGAAACAAGAATATCAGCAGTCTCGTTTAACGTCATCATTTCGTAAGTTCTGTGGCCGATACAATGACCTTGTCAGCAAATACAGTTTACCATTGAGTCAAATATGACTGACGTTTTTCGTAACAATTGTTAGTCCATTATTTATACACTGAATTGAAGACGGATTTTTTCCGTTATTTCCTGATCATGACAAGGAGCACACAGCGGATGTGACCGGTCGGCAGGGAATGCTCAATCCTCCATGGCACCTGATTCAACCTCTGATGTTTCAGGGGTCCGTGTTTGCTGTGCTCTTATTAGCTCACCTGAGCCGAAGGCTCAAGTGAGCTTTTCTGATCAAAATTTGTCCGTTGTCTGTCGGCGTTGTTGTCGTTGTCGTTGTCGTTGTTGTCGTTGTCGTAGTCGTTGTTGTCGTCGTCAACTTTTGACATTTTCATCTTCTTCTCAAGAACCACTGGACCAAATTCAACCAAACTTGGTACAAAGTATCCTTGGGTAAAGGGGATTCAAGTTTCTTCAAATGAAGGGCCAGGCCCTTTTCCAAGGGGAGATAATTATGAATTGGAGAAAAATTAATGACATTTTCAAAAAATCTTCTTCTCAAGAACCACTGGGCCAGGAAAGATGAAACTCATGTTGAGTCATCCTCAGATAGTGTAGATTCAAGTTTGTTCAAATCATGACCCCCGGGGATAGGGTGGGGCCAAAATGGCCGATCAAAGTTTTACATAGGAATATATAGAAAAAAATTTAAAAAAATCTTCTTCTCAAGAACCACTGGGCCAGGAAAGATGAAACTCATGTGGGATCATCCTCAGGTAGTGTAGAATCAAGTTTGTTCAAATTATGACCCCCGGGGGTAGGGTGGGGCCAAAATGGCCGATCAAAGTTTTACATAGGAATATATAGGAAAAATCTTTAAAAATCTTCTTCTCAAGAACCACTGGGCCAGGAAAGATTAAACTCATGTGGAATCATCCTCAGGTAGTGTAGATTCAAGTTTGTTCAAATCATGACCCCCGGGGGAAGGGTGGGGCCAAAATGGCCGATCAAAGTTTTACATAGGAATATATTGGAAAAATCTTTAAAAATCTTCTTCTAAATAACCACTGGGCCAGGAAAGATGAAACTCATTTGAGATCATCCTCAGGTAGTGTAGATTCAAGTTTGTTCAAATCATGACCCCCTGGGGGTAGGGTGGGGCAAAAATGGCCGATCAAAGTTTTACAAAGGAATATATGGGGAAAATCTTTAAAAAACTTCTTCTCAAGACCACTGGGCCAGGAAAGATTAAACTCATGTGGAATCATCCTCAGGTAGTGTAAATTCAAGATTGTTCAAATCATGACCCCCGGGGGCAGGGTGGGGCCAAAATGGTAGATCAAAGTTTTACATAGGAACATAAAGGGAAACCTTTTAAAATCTTCTTTTCAAGTACTTCAAAGCCAGGCTTCGTTGTATTTATAGGGAATCATCGTCAGGTAGTGTAGATTCAAGTTTGTTCAAATCATGATCCCCTGGGGGGGGAGAGAGATGTAAAATTCAAGCCCCCCCCCCCCCCCAGTTTACTTTCAGTTCTGATTTTTCCTAGCCAATTGCTCAGTTGAGCGATGTGGCCCCTGGGCCTCTTGTTTTGTATTGTTTTATGGACTTTGAGATTGAATACTGTTCGTTATCTCCATATCCTTCTTTGTAAATTTTCTTTTTACCTAAATATATTCATTTTAATTGTTATCATTTAACTTTTGAAGGTTACACATAACTCTTAAAACATCCCCCTTCTTGCTATGAGTCATTTTGAGGAAATATAGGCATCACATCCGGTAAAAAAAATAGAAGGATTTTTTTCCTTGGACTTTAGTAGAATACTTATGATCAACAAATTCAAAACCTTGAAAACCCAAAATGTTGTTAAAATTTTATTAAAATTGCAAAATTGTGATTTCTGTTAAGAGGGCTAAAAGCAACTTCCGGTAATGGAAAGAAATTCATTCAATCGTTAAAAAACTGATTTGGCAAAGTAAAAGATGTCCTAACCTTTTTGGTACATAGTTATAACCCGTTTATAATTTTCACTCTAAAATTAGGATGTTGCGTTTCTATTGACGGTGAGTATACATTAAACACATTGCCTTAAAATATATCTTAAATGACAGATTCATGCGAATATGGTCGAAGTAGGCTTTATAATTGTTATTACTTTGGTATGAACTTCCTCCAAACACTCGTCAAGAATAAAACAATCAGAGGTTTAAATTGTAGATCATATGCAGTCTGTTTTTGAGCATCTCGAGATGCATCATCAGTCATAGGGCATAAAGTAATTAAGAAATGGACCTGCTTAAAAATTTTAAACTGGCATTCAGAAAGTGAAGATCAGATGCAGCATCAAACTCCATTACCTTTCCCTTCAGGCCTCAAACTCCCATTTGAACTTCCTGTATCCACCAGTTATACATACAAAACATTTCGAAAATAATTTTCATGTTGTTTAATTAAATACAATATATTTTTAAGTACATTTTACATGTATGATTCCTTAATCCAGATGTTTAGCTAATCGGGATGATTTGCTTTCCTCTTGAACACATTAAGCATTTTTAATAAAAAATGTTACATTTTTATTTTCTGGTAAAATACCGGTATATGCAACTTTTGATCCATAAATAGTAAAGGGTTGATATTTTAACTAGGGATGTCAACGAAAGTTCATTTGATGAGTTGATATTCGAATACAAATTTGTGATTCGAATATTTGGTTTTTAAGTTTAAGCATTAAATAGAGAGAAAAATCTGACAAGTTTTATTTGAAATTTAATGAAGTTTGTACAGTTGACATGAATAAGATTTTATTGGAAAAAAATTTAAAGACAGTCTTGTTGGATTACTTTAAAAGTGTGAAGAATGTAATTATTAGAATAAATTATTCTTTGATCATTTAATCAGTGGTATAACGTACAGTACCAATAACCTACAATCCGTTTGTATTCTTGTAAGGACACAGTTTTACTGAAAACACATGGATCCCTTGTTTATGTATATATCATTGAAAATAATTATCGGGAAATTACTTCACTAAAATTAATTGATTTTAATTGTTCTTCAGTAGATAATTGTTTAAAGTGGTATAAATTGGAGTAAGTAGTGTAGACTTTGGTAAGACGACCAGATAATCTGGAACAAACAAAAGAAGCTTTTGAATTTTTAAAAACAAATTTTCATTACATTTTATATGTATACTCTTCATATACTCTGTAAAATTTTAAAGATATAATTAGTTTGCATTTACAATACTCTACGTAAAAGTTTATTCCAAAATAATGACATACAACATATACTGGCTGACAGGAGAGTTAAAATATATACTTTATAATGCAAAATGTATTTATTTTATCGAATATATTCGAATATTCCTATCGAATATTCGAATATCAATTATTGACAACTTTGACATCCCTAATTTTAACATATATATATGTGGAGTCTCAATTCTCTGTGTACAATAAAGGTCAAGGTAATATTTTTTTTTTACTTGACAAAATATTTAAAACAACCGTTCAATTTTCCGTTCTGCTGGTTTTTTGTAAAGCTTGAATGATATGTTTTCTGTTAAAAGAACATTTACTTTAGCATATTTACATAGTAACAAAAGGGCTGCCATTCAAATCAGCATCACAGAAGTTTGTAATACATATCAATCAATAAATTTTAATAAGGCACATTTTTACTCGAATATCTTATTCCATATCCTTTTCACAGGGGTTTGATAGGCCATATTTCAAACCATATATGCAAAAAGAATGTGGGATTGAATTTCTTTGATATCAAGTATGAAGTATGTTTTCAAAAAAAAAAATTGAATGTGAGGAAAATTTGGGCTATAGATCTAATTATTTTTAAATGCTTTAAGCCAGCTGCTTCTCAAAACTGTCTCTTTCTAATAATCATCACTTACTCTTGCGTGAGTTTGTATAGTCAAGAAGCTCTATGTTTCAATTTCAAAAGCCCTCAATGATAGGAAAATTATATTTTTAATAATATAACATTCTGTAATATAAAACATTAATTTACTTTAGATGATTGTGGTTCAAACAGAAATGGATGCTTATATAACAGTACATGTAAGGATGGAGTTGATAGCTACGTATGTGAATGTGCATCAGGGTTAAGTGGCAGACATTGTCAGGTCACAAGAGATTTTTGTAGTGGGTCACCATGTCCTAATGGTGGGTGTGTGAATGACTACACAACACTGTCACCCAAATGCTTCTGTGATTACCCATACCAGTTAGGTAATATATTTTTTTATACCCCACGCAACTAGTTGCGGGAGGTATAATGTTTTTGACCCGTCCGTCAGTCAGTCAGTCAGTCAGTCAGTCCGTCAGTCAGTCCTCTTTTTTTGTCAGCGCAACTCCTCATAAACCGCTGCACAGAATTTCGTCAAACTTTGCAAGTATTTAGGACACAATGTGTAGATGTGCATATTACCAGGAAATTCCGATTCCGTTATTTTTTCCGGGAATTTCCGCACTTTTTAACTTAGGCATTTGGCCATACCTTGAATATAGAGATGAACAGTTTGTCAGCGCAACTCCTCATAAACCGCTGCACAGAATTTCGTCAAACTTTGCAGGTATTTAGGACACAATGTGTAGATGTGCATATTACCAGGAAATTCCGATTCCATTATTTTTTCCGGGAATTTCCGCACTTTTTAACTTAGGCATTTGGCCATACCTTGAATATAGAGATGAACAGTTTGTCAGCACAACTCCTCATAAACCGCTGCACAGAATTTCGTCAAACTTTGCAGGAATTTAGGACACAATGTGTAGATGTGCATATTACCAGGAAATTCCGATTCCTTTATTTTCTCCGGGAATTTCCGCACTTTTTAACTTAGGCATTTGGCCATACCTTGAATATAGAGATGAACAGTTTGTCAGCACAACTCCTCATAAACCGCTGCACAGAATTTCGTCAAACTTTGCAGCTATTTAGGACACAATGTGTAGATGTGCATATTACCAGGAAATTCCGATTCCTTTATTTTTCCAGGAATTCCCACACTTTCCAACTTAGACTTTTTTGCCATATTTTGAATTGAATAGCGATGAACAGTTTGTTAGCACCACTCCACTTAAACTGTTGTACATAGTTTCGTCAACCTATGCTGATATTTAGCACATATTCCATTATTTTATCCCAAAGAGTTTTGCATATCATTCAAGAAAATTTCTCAACCCCCCCCCCCCCCCCCCCCCCCCCCACTTCAAATTAATGTGTGGATTTGTATATTGTCAAGAAATTTTGATTCCATAATTTATCTAGAAACTTCATTCCACATTTAAATGTTCTCATATGCAAGACATTTTGATGTGAAGATTTTTTGCAGTTATTGCCCTTTTTGATCTATACTATGTATTTAAAGTGCACTGTGCCTTTCATTATGTGTTTCACCGTCAAGTTATGGGGGAGCGTGGGGTATGTGAGCTAGCTCACTTTTTCTTTCATTTCTACATATAATGTCTTTTAAAATTAAACTTTGAAGCACAGTCAAGTATTGTCATTATTATCCTAGAACAATCAGTACTCTTGATTTCATATCACAGGAAATAATGGTCAATGTGAGAAGATGGATCTATGTAACAACACTGACTGTAACAATGGCACCTGTAATTCACTGACTGGGAAGTGTACCTGTGATACAGGCTTTGAAGGTTCTAGTTGTCAGCACAGTGTAGATGACTGTAAGGGCATGCCTTGTAAGAATGGATCAACGTGTATAGATGGACACCAAGATTACAGTTGTAAATGCATGTTAGGATTTACTGGTGAGTGTTTGGGTTGTATATTGTAATTCATCTTAATAATTGATATAGATCTGTATGATAATAAAATCCTGCATAAACGAAGAAGGTAAGGGGGCATCATGGTACATTATAATAATCGAAATACAAATTGCAATATATCTTGTTATATCAAGATTTTACATTAACAGGTTTCTTAATAATTAATTTTGTGTTTTAGGGAAGAAACAAATATTTAAGCATTTCTTTTTATAAAAAAAAATTCCTATTGTAGTGACTGTATTTATAGGTATTTTCCAAAACCAGGTTTATATCAAAATGAAAATTAAATTTTGCATATTTAAAAGATTTCAATTAGTTCTGTCATTACTTCACTGCAGAAATACTCTAGTTTGAAGCCAGAATACAAACCTTTACAAACCATAAAAAAATTAATTTATGCATAAGTTTGAATTGGTGTATCTTTTTGACCCTCACGGGATCATAGTACTTCAATATATGTATGTATTTTTTTTACCCCCTTGTAAGTGTCGTATGGAAAAAGGAATGATAAAGTTTACTTGCTTATAAATATGAACTGTTTAGAAAAAAAAACTTATTCAAAGAATTAGTAGTTTTAGAAAATTTGGTAGAGTAGAGTGTTTCATTTATTTCCTTTAGGAAAAAACTGTGACATGGACCAGGCGGACTGTCCAGGATCCTGTAACATGACAACTACACAGAAAACTGTAGATAAAATCAACGAATGTGAATGTCTGTGTAAGCCAGGATATACAGGCCAAAACTGTACAGTAAGATCGATTCACCATGTGACTTTCGCCCACCATGGATCTTGAATCAGTTTTTAACGTTTTGGCTTCTTCTTATGAATTGTAATCATCATATTTAAGAATGAAGCATCTATATGAGTGAAGAGAAATGGAATAAATATTTTGAATTTCATTGTCTGGCCAAAAATATGTAAAAATCACTTTGACTTTCACTTATATGGAATATTTTTCTTGAAGTGCTATTTGAAATATACCTGCGTAACAAGTCTGTGTTAACTAGCACTTGTCAAATATAAATATGCCTTGTCTTCATAAAATCTGATGAAATTTACTGACAAATTTTAGGGGGATTCAAACTTTACAAATACAATAATACGTTATTTCTTACCACAATATTTACATTCACTGGACTGTATTAGTCACCTACTGATAAAATCCGAGGGGATTATTAATATCCTCTGAGTCTGTTCATCTGTTAAGCTGTCTGTTAGTCTGTCCCACTTTCTTTTCCGCATTTTTTATCCTAAACGTTTGCAGATAGTAATCTGATTTCTGATATGTTAGTGTATCTTGATGTGTTACAGAACAAGTTTGCATTTCGTTCTACTTAATTATTTTTTGACGGAATTATGGCATTTTTAATTTTTTAATACAGCGTAAAATTCTGGGTTCACGACCGGTTTGTGCTGCACTCATTTATGTTCCAAAAGAGATTGTCATGTTAAAAATTATTGATTTGACACTTTCTAGGTAACGTTTTGTGGCAAACCAAAGTTTATTTTTTAATTTGTTTTTTTTTCACTATGTGAAATGAGCTGTTCTGATCAAAGCATGACTGCGCGCATATGTATTTTATCTGCAATATCTGAGACCAATTTTAATTCCCAAATAAACAAAGAATGCATTTCGTTGTTTAAATGATTACCAAGAAAAAAAATTCTGTTCTTTTAATTTTGAATTGAATAAAGGAAGAGGTGGATGAATGTGGCAGTTTTCCGTGTAAACATGGAGCTACCTGTACTGATACGGTCAATGACTATCACTGTAACTGTACTGAGGGATGGGAGGGAAAGAACTGTGACCAACAGATTAATTTTTGCATGATAACATTCCACAAATGTCAAAGTGGTGATTGTTATAACTTAATTGACGACAGATACTGCCGGCAAGTACCCAATTAAAACAATTTTAAGAATTTTAATTTTTTTATTTAGTCTTTCTTGTATCTTAAAATTTTTAATAATAAAGAACCTGGAAATCTGAATTTTACATAATTCATGTACGTTATTGCACTTGCAAATATTTAAAGTAATCAACCCTTTTGATATTGAGAACTCATACAGAAGGTGTTTATTAATGCCCCCGTAATCGAAGATTTGGGTGTATATAGTTTTTTTTTTAATCTGTTCAACCGTCTGTCTGTTTGTCCGCAGAAACTTTAACCTTGCCCACAACTTTTGAATGGGTGAAGCTATGGCCTTTATAATTTACATATGTATTTCTTGTGACAAGGTCATTCTTTGGGTATCAACATATTTGACATTTTGACCTTGGAGATTGACCCATTTTTGTAAGAATTTACCAACCTTTATCTCGGTCATAATTTTTTAACTGTTGGTGCTAGACTTTCATACTTCACGTGAATATTCATTCTGACAATACCTTTTAATGGATATAAATATTTTTGACCTTGAAATTTAAGTTTAAACCACTTTTAAAAAACTTTTTTTGTATTTTTGTTTGTTGTTTAACGTCCCTCTCCAGAATTTTTCACTCATATGGAGACGATACCACTTGCCGGTGGAGAGCTAAAAATCTTTTTGTACCAGCACCTTAGCTGCGACACAGGGCCTCAATGAGATTCTAACCTGCGACGTAAGAATTAACTCTTTACTCCGCGACTCTTTCCACTGCGTCATGCAGGCGACTGTGGTGAATAGTACAAGTAGGACCATATATTTTCAGACTTCAACAAAATATTTTGTATTTGGAAAATTCGTTATTTATGCAAAATATCTATGAAGAATTCTACATATTTAGCAATATTTGTACTGCAATATGTTTTAAATAAGTCAAGAAATCTGATGAAAGAACTTAAAATTTGAAGAGCATGCTAAATAAGTAAGACATGAAACATGAAAAAATTGATTGACTATATTTTTTCTAGATTAAGGTCATCATTATCATCCTTAAATTTGGAGACGACAGTAATATTCTACATATAATTATAATGAATTTGTCAGGAAGAAAATCGTGTGTATTCTGACCCACATGCCTCTTGTTTATATATTTTTAGTGGTTGAAGTCAAAGGAAAACTAATATATGAATAATTGTCCCATGGTTTGGGTTTATATAGATGCAATGCTGGTACAAGAGGTGAGGCATGTGAGGACATTCCAGATGTGTGTAATGTTATTTCCCCATGTACATCAAGGGGCATTTGTCAAAATGCAAATGGAACAGCAATATGTTCATGTCAAAATAGTGAGTAACCTTTTTTAAAAGATGGTACAAAAAGTAGGTAATAGTAAGATACATTCGTTTACAAGAAGATACTTGCGTTACTACACAACTATATTTTTTCTCGTGTTTGTGCTTCATTTCATTAAGAAATTCCTATGCATATTATTTTACTGTTTCAGACTATTCTGGAGATTCCTGCCAGTTATTGAAAGACCTTTGCAGAGGTAAAACAAATTGTTTGTATCAGGGCATGCCTAATACAGGAGGAACATGTACAAATCTGCCAGCTGGAGGCTTTAATTGTGCTTGTCAAACTGGTAGGATCATGTCATAGTACATTTGTGTTATGATGATCGATTTTGGAATTGTTACTTACCATGATAGCTACACACTACTCAGTTACTGAAATTAAGGTATTTATTGTGAACAGAGGTCCTTCAAAGACAATAAATTATGGGTTAATTAATTAAGCAACACTGTGCTGCAAAAGGAGTAATATTTTTAAAAAAAATAAGAATTTTTAATGACACATGAAAATTTCGAATTCTTCATTTTTTTGGTTTCTAAAAAGGACAAACCTTAAAGAATACTTTTATGGAGAAAGAAAAAGTATCCTAAAAGAAATACATGATTTTGACACATTATTTGACCTAAGAATTTTTTTTGAAATCAAACTTTAATGGATAAAATAGAAAATTTTCTGAAATCTAAAATATAGTGCAGAGTTTGCTGTAGCGATTACAGAGAAAGTACTAGTATCTTAATTTCTGCTCACTTTTGAAATACTTAGCTGAAAATACCTCGATTATACGAATTAAGAATACAAAACTCTTGATATCAGTTACATGTACTAGACCTTCTTAAATAATGCCATCAAACAGTTAGATTAATGTGAAAACGACGACTTTCTTCAAAATATTCATTCTTTTTTAATAGGTTACACTGGAGGGACTTGTCAAACTAAGGTAACCCGCTGTTCCACATTGAATTGTGGATCTGTTGCAATGTGCAACGAGGAGATTAGTTGTTACTGTCCAGAGGGAAAAATTCTCACGGAGAATAAAGTTTGTAAAAGTATGTATTAGTATCTTGTTTTCTTGTTTCTTTGTAACTTATTTCTGCAGTTGTTTTTCACTATTAATCCTTGTATAAACAAAAAAGACATTATATTGTTTTTAATTTTTTGTTTGTTAATATACAAAGTGGGTAAAGGTATGTTAAACATTGTTTTATTGATCCATGTGTTACTTTGAAGGAAGAACCCATCTTTGAAGAAATCTTGCATACAGACGGCTGTAATGATTCTAGCTAATTCAGGGATGATCGATTAATTGTGTGGCAGTCAGATCGGTTTGATTGCTAATTACCAGATACCTTGGTTTCTAGAGCATCTTATTGGAGATTCAGGGGCTCTTGTTCGAATCCTGGTCTTGTCAGTCTTACTTATCTACAGTTACATATTGTGCCATGACCAGAATATGACAGGTTAAAAGACCTGCAAGAAATGAGTCTGGGTTGGTGTCTTTAGGGGCAAAGTTTATAAGGAGGGTAGGAATGTGGCATTTTAAAATTGTTTCGAACACTTGCCAGATAGGTTAGTCGGTAGAACACCAGACTGAAAATTCAGGGAGCCTAAGTTCAGATCTTGGTATGGTCCGTTAGATTTTTCTCCTTTTGGTTACAACAGAAAAGTTTTTCTTTCGTTAAATAAATGAGAAGATATTTAGTGGATGTAAATACTTTATTTTAACCCCAAAAAAGTCTACACTCAAATATTAAGATTACTACGGGTATGCATCAACCAATTCATGGACAATGATCATAAAAGCAAGCCAGTGGATTCTCATTAAGTGTCTTGAAATGAAATACAGGTGATTCTTGATAGCTAAAAGTTTATTTAACCACATAAAACAGATTAAGAGTCCAACCATTATATACATGTAGTAATCGATCTGATAGTAATATTCGTAGTTTGCTGTATGAAATTATAAATTGTCATTCCTCTTCTTTTATTTTAGCTCCATCAAATGATTTTGATATGCTGTTTGATAATCTGATTGGAGAAGAGGGGGCCTCTACCACAGCTGTCCTGTCCAGTGACCTTGAAAAGGAATCCAGTTTGTCCTTCATGTTATGGGTCAGGTTTCACAAAGATCAAAAAGAGACTGCTGATGCTGTTTTGTTTAAATTGGGGTATAATGAAATTTTTAACACAATGTTAAGCCCATGCAAACCAGTGATTGAAAAAAAAATCGCTGATTGAAATTTGTCCGTGTCCCTCTGTGTGTCATTTAATAACAACAATTTTATTGGTTATTTCAATTTAACTCCCCAATCCTTTCAAATAAGGTTTTAGGAGATCATTGCTATGGAAAGTTTGAGTGTATATTAAAATCCCTTTGTATGGACAATATTTAGTTCAGTTCAGGTTGATTGTAAATGGTATCACAAATCATTTTTTTTTCAAATTTGATCTATTGATGCTCATTCTGATGATAGCTAAAAATTCTGCGTCTCACTGATCTGAAAAAAAAAATAGGACGGATATACCTTGCTTGCAGAGGGTTATATAGATACACTCACATAAGAAATGGTTGTGTATAAAGTTGAAAAGTCGTAAGTTGTTATGCTTTGATTGTGAGGATTTTTATGAAGTTTCGGAATCTTATATATATATATATATATATATATATATATATATATATATATATATATATATATATATATAGGATAGTTCTAATTCATTTTGGCGATGTGGAAGATTAAAAATATCTAAAATTGATATGATTATGATTTTGAAGAATTTCTTTCTTAGAAAGGGAAGTATGAGTATAAGTAGGATTACCACTTGTAGAATTAAATCTTATTTCTTCTAAAATACAATTTATATAATAAATCTCACAAACGAAGACAATGTTGTTACCTGCTTTGTCAGCAGGGACCAGTACGTACTGATCATGCATGTTTTTCCATTTATATGTATTCATAAATGTAAGGTTGATATGTTAGCTGTACTAACCATCTTAGGATATTACTTAAGGTAGGTCGCGGGTTTACTGCATAAAAATTCTTACGAGAAAACATATCCTGAAAATTTGATGAAATGTTCCTTAGAATTTAAAGCGTATCATCTGCAATTTTTATTAAATTTGCCTAAGTAGTTTTAATGTTATAGTACTGTAAACGCGGTGTAGTTTTAAATCCTTTTTGACGCTTTTACCGTTGAAATATATGGGAAAATGACGTTTATAAGCCAATTTTGTGAAGATAGTTTCTTTTAAAAAGGTTGGATAACTTTTTAAAGATGTAGACGAATTATTCAGGAATTTCAAAATGTCAAGATGAGGTAAAATCAAAACCATTAATATAAAAAAATCAATATGTCTTCTCGCTAGATTTTTTGCTAAATAATTTCAAAGTTTTCTTTTAAAATGCTAAAATTTGGCGTTTACGGCATTATTAATATCTACAACGTCATTTGTTGAACGTAGTAACGTTTACAGTACGAGTATAAATATGAATATATTGACCTATGGAATATGCGAGAATTAAAAGGTGATATCGATACAAAATTTAATTTTATTCATCATTTAATTTATTGCGGAGACATATTAGGATGACCAGCAATTAACTTATTTTCACTAGTATTGTGAAATTCATATTCTGATCACAAAGTCAGAATGAACGGTATAAATAATCCTCGTGAAGCGACATTAACATGCAGCGACAATGTTCACCGCGAGTGAAAAAATATTAGTACCTGTATTTTTAGGAAATGCATGGTCAATAGGATTTCAAGCATAAAACAAAAATTTGATCATTTTATTTGAAAACGGTAGGAAAAACATCCCTATAATGAGGAAATAAGTGGGCAGGGAGGGGGGGGGGGTTACCTGCAATGTTCTTTCTATATTAGTCGCAAGCTATAGTATATGGCTCTAAATCTCAAGCATTTTTTAATTTCGAATTTTCTGAATCAAATTCCAATACGTAAAATGTAAAAAAAACTTGCATTTATAGCTTTTACACGTTGAGCTTTTGTCATAAAAAATATATAGAGAAAAATTATACTTGTAAATTGTTTACAGTGTTTTGTAAGTCTTAAAATCCAGGTGTTTGAATAAATTTGATTTTTAAATGCATTTCACAATTTATTAGCAAGCAAAACAAGGCGAGTGCACAAGATTTAAATACCTAACAACCAACCAATATTAATAATGATAATTTAAAAAAAAAAAACCAAACATGCAGAAAAATACTTGTAATTAAATATAACTCGTTTTTAGTGATGAGGATTAATTTCCATCCTGAAAAGTATAGGCATATTTTCGCCCCGGCTTTGATTTGAAGTCAAGTTCCCCTGAGTTTCAAATAACGTGCGCACATGTATACAATCCCTCAAGTTACTCACTAAGCAATTTTTTATTCATGAGAACTTTCTTTCTGCAAGGCATAAATTTTACGATGATTTATTCTGATTGACTTTTAGCAGTTTAGTTACACTTCAAATATAATTTATTGCTTTCATTTGATATTGTATTTGATTAGTCCTAAGACATTACATATAATCACACCAGAATTCAGACTGAAATTTAATTATAAAACATGTACGAGGTTTACGTACAAAAGCATGCACTTTGTGTTAAATCTACTTTTAAATTTGCACAGACTTCAAGTCATTTGCAGAGAATTAAACGGGAAACAACGTGACGTTGCCTTTGTGACGTAACTGACGTCATAATCAAATGTGCACAAAACAACCGCTCGAATCGTCAAAATTGTGTACCAAAATTGATGACAAAAGCAAACCCGCGACCTACCTTAAGGTATGTCACTCGTCAGCTTTTTAGAAAAGTTTACGCGAAAACTTTTACTTCAAAACTACGTGTTAAAATTCAATTTTTATAACATATTTAAATTCAACAATGTAAATTTTTTAACATTCAACGAAAAAACTGCTCAAAAATCTACAAAGAAGCAATATTTATGAGGGACTATTTCTTTTGGTGGAAGGATATTTAGCAGAAAATTCTGCAAATCTGCACATTTATAAAATTTAATGTAATGGAAATTTAGCCTCACATAATTTTACTCGGAGAATATTTTCCGTTTTGATATTGCTAAAAATATTTAATATAGGTCTTAATTTATATTTTTAGACTAAGTTTTACACCTTCCCTCAACAAACTTTTCCAAAAAATGAAAAAAATATTAAAGAAGTCAAGATCAAATTTACACCATTTATTGCCTGAAAACCACATATTTTGACAAATATTTCAAAATTAACATCACTGACCCCACCTTTTTCTTTCATTAATTTAAACTACTCGATACTTGTGACTGATCAGCACTTAAGTCGTAAAAAGTTTGATATAAGAAATTTTTTTATTGCCTATTAAGTTTTTTAATACCCCAAATATGTTATTTTTAGTGCAAAAAGGTCACGCAATAATTTACGCGCATTAATTTGCAAGATTTGTTTAATGATAAATATTATTCAAACTATTTTACGTAAAATAAGATTATATTTATTGCCATGCTTACATCTAATAAGATATAATAAGGGTTAAAGTAATTCACCAAAGAAATGAAATTTAAGTGCAAAAAGGTCAAATTAAATGTACCGTAGATCAGTAGGATGCACACTGACCCCCTATTTTCTTTGCGATTTTGAGTTACACTTTATGAGTACTTATCCAAAATATACTTCTTAAAAAATCCTTGATTTAACAAATTTCAGGAGTGACATACCTTAAAGAAGTTAAGATTCATAAAATTTAATTTGCATAAGTTTAAAAATATATCTATACTGAAGAGAATATTCAGTTTCCAGCATCGTCAAGGTGATTTTTTAGTCAAAAACAAGGATTATATTTAACATATGTATAATATGGGTAATAATAATAAAAAAAAGTACTATTAGTAGGTTAATCTCCTACTTATTGGGAAAATCCAAATTTTTCTCCCATACTTTCATATACATTCATGTCCTATGGACATTTTTTTTTATAGTTTAATTATATTACTTTTCCCCCTTCTTCAATCAATCAGTGCAGAATAGCAAACTTATTCATTTGATATTTACATGTACATTCATGAAAGTTTTCAAATTGAAAGACAATAAGGAATTTTTTTATTACAATGACTGAATTTTATATATCATTTTCAGTGGCATCATACAAGTGAAGAACAACACAATTATCTTTACAAATGCAACAAACATTCATACTGTAAATACAGTTGCCTTTGGATATCCAATCAGGTTGGATGATGGTGCTTGGCATTTTATTGTGGTGTCTTGGAAGCAGAATGGTGAAACCCTGGTCCATGTAGACAATATACTAATTTCTAATGACAACTCTGTATCAGGGTCACTTCCCAATATGTTAGTATTAATATGAATTAATAAACAAGTTCTCCCTATTTCTGATGGTTTATATTTTACTTTCCTGAGGGAAAAAATAAACATTGCCAAAAATTGTAATTAATTTTTATTGGTAAATTTTATTTTTATATTTTAAAAATTAATTACCCTTATCATACTTAGCCTATAAACATTAATTTTGTACATTTAAAAAAAAGTAAGCATATGATTTGTCCAATTTTGTTGCAATAATATGATGTCCCATCACAGTTATGAACATTGTATTGATTGTTTTAGGTTAGATGTAGAAGTTGGGAAGAAATTTGGAGGAAGACTATCACAAGTAAAGATCTGGTCCAATAGTTTAAATAGAAATGATATGTTCCAACTCTTTAACAACAAGGATTTCCAGCCTGTTCTTCTAATACCTTCTTCAAACTTTCTGTATTTTCTTTTAATGTTTCACTGAATTCCTTCATTTTGTCATCTAAGATTTGAGAAACAACGTTTTTCACAATGTTTTCAACAGCCTTTTCGAGATCTTTTTTCGTGATAATATCAGATTTCAAACGTCTGATCTCATCCATTAAGGACTTGTTTGTCTCCTTATTCTGGGGACTCGATTCTGATTTAGAACTTAGTCTAGTTGATCTCTCAGACATTGTCACAGAATTTTCAAGAATACGATTGACACAATACACTAAGATCAAAAGTCTATTAATAGTAACACAACAACACAGACCCGTAAGCGCTACTCACGAGAACTCAGGTTGAAGACAAAATCCGTAATAATCCGTTCTTCACACTTTTTCAAAACTCTTTTTTTAATTCTCCTGGATCAGATGCTGATGGACAACTTATATTTTGTCTATATATGTTGAATAAATATGAAATTCTGCACCTTTTCGACCCACGACAGCGGAGCTGAGCTCTATGCGTCTTTCACTACCGGCGCCATTTTTAAACCCCTAGATAGATAGATTAAGTGAGAAAGTTAAAGACCTAGAGGCAGACTTGAATGACACAAAACAACTCGCTCGGGAGGCATATCTGACCGCTAATCGTAATGAACAATATTCGAGGAAAAATACTTTTAAGATCAATGGTGTTCCTCAGGAAGAAAAAGAGGATGTCGAAGAAGTGGTTCAGAATGTGCTACTTAATGGGTGCGGGGTTGGAATTCAGGAGAAGGACATCATAGCAATTCACAGAATTCCGGGAAAAGCAGACGGACCAAGGCCAATCCTGGTGAAATTAAAGAACAACGTAGCAAAAGCGAATATAATGCGCAAGAGGTCAGATATTAAAAAAGAATACAGATGGGAAGATCTGGCTGACAGACGATGTGACGAGACTGAATGGGATCCTCATAAACCGATTAAAAGACCACCCAAAAATAGACAATGCGTGGTACTTTAATGGAAGTGTTTATGGACTGGTGAACGATAAACGAATGAAGTTTGACTTGTTGGACAATCTTGATGAAAAAATCAAATAGTGTAAAGTGTTATTTAGACAACCCGGAATTTTAATTTCCATCCATGTGATTATTCCGGAACTTTGAGGTCCATTGACGTCGAAGTTTTTGCTATTACTTTATAATAATAAATTCCGGTTGTGACTTTTTTGCCTGTACGCGAATATGGCCCATTGACAATTTTCGAGCTAGCCAATTTTTGAACTGTTTGAATGCTTTTTACAAACTTTTTCCTGTTCTGCTACTTCTTTCCTTTCTACTCTATCTTTCTCTTTACAACTCAATTCTGTGTTTATTCAAGATTCGTACAGAAGCTCCAGGTTCCGTCAGAGGTAAATTTCTTAATTATCCATCATGTCTTTGAAAATATTATCAGCTAATTGTCAAGGATTGGGGGATATCAGCAAACGAAGAGATGTTTTTAATTATCTTAGAGGAATGAATTATAATATTTACTGCCTTCAGGACACTCATTTTACAACTGAAATAGAAAATGAAATCAGAAGCATGTGGGGTTTTGACTGTTACTTTAGTTCTTTTTCATCAAATGCAAGAGGTATAGCAATTCTATTCAATAATAATTTTGAGGTTAAAATGTCTAAGGAAAAAGGAGACGTGGATGGTAATTTTCTTCTTTTAGATTTTACTGCTGATGAAAAAAGGTTTCTCTTATGTTGTATATATGGACCAAACAATGATAACCCTGATTTTTATGAAAGATTACATGAGTACATTAATGATTTTAATTGTGAAAATGTTATATTATGTGGTGACTTTAACCTTGTTTTAAATCCTGAATTAGACTACTATAATTATAAACATATAAATAACCCTAATGCAAGACAGAGGGTTATAGAGCTTATGGAAGATAACAACTTAGTTGATATTTATAGACAAAATAATCCAGATGCTTTGAGATATACTTGGAGAAAAAAAAGTCCCATTAAGCAAAGTAGATTAGATTTTTTTCTTGTATCGGAGAACTTACTGTCAAGTGTTACAACAAGTTCTATAGAACCTAGCTATAGGTCCGACCACTCGATTATTACTTTATGTTTAAAGTTCAATGATTTTAAGAAAGGCAAAGGATTATGGAAATTTAATAATTCTCTTTTATATGATGAAGAATTTTTAAACTCAATTAAGGGGGTGATACAAAGGGTTAAAGAGCAGTATGCAGTTCCAGTATACAATATAGATAACTTGCAATCTATTGAAGATGAAAATATTGCATTTTTAGTCAATGACCAGTTATTTTTAGAAACACTTCTTATGGAAATTAGAGGGAAATGTATTTCATATTCGTCTTTTAAAAAAAAATCCAGAATTTTTAAAGAAGAAAAACTTATAAAAGAAATAAGTTCCCTGGAGGAATTGGCACAGGGGTCTACAAGCAATAATGAAACTCTTGAAGAAAAAAAGAAAGAGTTGGAAGATATTAGAAAAGAAAAAATGGCTGGTGTATATATAAGGTCAAGGGCAAGATGGATAGAAGAAGGGGAGAAACCGACAAAATATTTCTGTAATCTCGAGTCAAGAAATTTCATAAGTAAAATTATTCCAAAAATTAAATTAGAAAATGGAGAGACAGTTTATAATCAGTCAGATATCTTAAAAACAACCAAACAATATTATGAAAATTTATATAGAAATGTAGATGATGTCATTGAAAATGTTAACCTTCAGGAGGAAATGAATTTTTCAGATATTGAAAAGCTTTCCAATGAAGAGTCAAGGTCATTAGAAGGTCAAATTACAATGAAGGAGGCAGGGGAAACACTTTTTAGGATGAAATCAAATAAATCACCTGGCTCAGATGGCTTTACCTCAGAATTTTTTAAGGTCTTTTGGAAATTTATAGGCGTTTTTGTTGTCCGATCAATTAATTATGCATATGATCATGATATCTTAAGTGTAACTCAGAGACATGGAATCATTACCTGCTTACCGAAGGGTGACAAACCTAAACATGTGTTAAAAAATTGGAGACCTATCTCTCTTTTAAACACAGTTTATAAAATTGCATCTGGTTCAATAGCAAATAGAATTAGAAGGTTTCTAGATAAAATTATACATCCTGATCAAACAGGCTTTATACAGGGCAGGCATATAGCTGAAAACATTAGACTAATCTATGACATTATGCAATACACAGAAGAAGAAAAAATACCAGGTCTTCTTCTTCTTGTTGACTTTGAAAAAGCATTTGATTCTGTCTCTTGGGCTTTTATTCAAAAATCACTTAAATTCTTTAATTTTGGAAAGTCTATGAGGAAATGGGTCAGTTTATTTTATTCAAACATTACATCAGCAGTAAATCAGGGAGGAAATTTATCTGAAACATTCTCTTTGCATCGAGGGTGTCGACAGGGAGACCCACTATCCCCATACTTATTCTTGATATGTGCTGAAATCCTTGCTATTAAGATAAGAAATAACAAAGACATCAAAGGTATATATTTTATTGATGGGGAAAAGAAAATCTCGATGCTCGCTGATGACACTTCTCTTATATTAGATGGCAGTGAGAAATCTTTACAATCAAGTTTAGGTACCCTTAGAGATTTTGCAAAAATGTCCGGCTTACATATAAATTACGATAAAACACAAGTAATATGGATAGGTAGCAAAAAAGGTAGTGATGAGGTTTTATGTAAAAATCAATCTCTTGAGTGGGGAAAGAAAAACTTTAGGTTACTTGGTATTGAATTTGATATAGATTTGCAGAAGATACTTTCGAGGAATCTCAGTTCAAAGTTAGAAAACATAAAGAAAATGATAAGACATTGGAAACATAGGAATCTCACACCACTAGGACGATTAACAGTTTTGAAAACACTTTTATTGCCAACATTGAATCATATTTTTGCCTCCCTTCCAAATCCCACTGATTTATATATAAAAGATTTAGAAAACACCTTTTATTCTTTTGTAATGGGGAGTAATGCTTTTAGACTAAAAAAAGGAGTTTGTATTAAAGATCTTAAAGATGGCGGTTTCAAGATGATTAGTATTAAAGAGTTTATTATGTCTCTGAAACTTGTATGGATGAAAAATGTCATACTGCAAGGTAAATATTCATATCTAACTTTAGATTTAAAAAAAACAGTTTTTTGTGGAGAAGAATACATTCTCAAGAAAATTAAAGATGTAAAAAATATGTTTTGGAAAAATGTTTTAGAAGCCTGGCTATTTTTTTCTAAAAAATTACCAGAACCAGAAGCAAGTGCCTCTATGGAACCACTATTTTTTAATAAAAATATACTGATTGGCAAGAAAACAATTTTTTATAAGAAATGGTTTGAAAATAATGTATTTTTCGTAAATGATCTCTTAAGAGAGGACGGTTCCTTTATGGACATTAATATGTTTAAATTGAAATATGGAATCCATACAAACTTTCTTGAGTACAATGGACTTATAGCTGCTATCAGAGAATGGATGAAAACCAAAAATATAATTTCTATGCCAACTGTGTATATGCCATATATTACACAAAAAACATTCCGTTTATTAAATGCGAAGAAATCAAGAAATTTATATGAAATTTTGAAAAGCAATGATATCAAGCCTTTAGGTCAGACTAGCTGGAATAGAATTTTTAACTTGAATGATAGTGAATGGGAAAAAGTTTTTTCATTTCCTTTTAAGCTCACAAAAGATACAAAACTTCAGTGGTTTCAGTTCCGCATTAATCATAAAATATTAGCAACAAATTCCTTTTTACATAAAATTAAGAAAATAGATTCATACAAGTGTTCTTTTTGTGAAACTGAGACAGAAACTATTGAACACATCTTCTGGGAATGTGAAGTAGTACAAGACTTATTGAATAGTTTTGATAGTTATTGTTTTAGAAAGATTCATATTAATGTTGTATATTTGAAAAAAGAATTCATATTGGGATCTTTTGCAAAATTAGACAAAATAAAATATCTCATTGCTCTTCAGATTAAATATTTTATCTACAGAATGAGATGTAGTGGTAAATACCTCTCCTTGAATGGACTGATATCCTCCATCAAATATATGTATGAAATAAACAAGTATATTGCATATAAAAACAATAATCAGTTGACTTTTGACGAAGCCTGGAAACCCTGGAAGAATCTGTTTTTGTAATTTTTTTCTTACTATCCCTTCTCGCCCTCCTCTCTCTCTTGCTCTACTCTCTCTCTCTCTCTCTTCTCTCTCTCTCTCTCTCTCTCTCTCTCTCTATAAAAAATTTACAGAAAATGTATATTTGTATTGTATAAGTATGTATTAGAATCTGTAAATAAATAAAAAAAAAAAAAAAAAAAAAAAAAAAAAAAAAAAAAAAAAAAAAGGATTTCCAGCCTGCAGGATCTACTGTAGTTCATGGATGGTACAACTATAAAATGAGCAAAGGAGTTTTGAAGAAGTTTCCTTCGAGAATTAAAGATGATCAAGTCTGTGATATTCCTGCTTGCTCAAAGTCGGGTTAGTTTTTAGACATATAAGCACCTAAATATATTTACTTATGATTTCACAAATTTTAATGTAGAAAGCCAGACCTACTTTTTTATTTAATTAGTAAAAATTTACATTCAGGTTTGATCATTATTGGCGTATTGCAGAATATTTAAAATTCATGAGCCCTCTTAAGAAGTAAGGAATTCTTTGCAGATAAACTAAAACCTAAAAGAAAGAGCTGTGCTGCTGACGTTTTTGTGTACTCCAGTAACGGATTCATTTTTTATCAACTTCCATCTTTTATTTCCATGTTTGATGATTTCAATGAAAGCTTGTCTTCTTTGTCCTCATATCCAAAAGGTTTGCTATGCAATTTTTAATCGGTTTTTAATCGTTTAATCAATGCATTCAAAACTAAAGCAGTCTTCGATATTTTCCCCATGTTTCACAAATCAAGGATACAGTTATTAGAGATGCACTATATTTCTTTACCTCTGGGACATAAGAATTGAGACTACATTATTTGATATGTGCAAGGAAACATGATTGCTCTTTCTTACTATAATATGGGTCTATTGATTAATTCCGCAGTGAGGCTAAGTTGATCAGAGGTTGATGAATAAGATGTTCTGGATCCATTTTTATTTCACCTGAGCTTAAAGCACCAGTGATCTTTTCTGATCACCCGTTGTCCGTACGCGTCATCCGTACGTCCTTCCGTCTGTCCGTCCGTCTGTAAACTTTTTCACATTTTCAACTTCTTCTAAAGAACCACTAGGCCAAATCTAACCAACCTTGGTTCAGAGCATCAGGTGAAAGGGAAGTTTAATTATCCATCGAAGGGGCAACCCCTGTTAAAAGGGGGAAATAATCAAGAAAGGGCAAAAATGGATGGAATCATTAAAAATCTTCTTCTCAAGACTCACTGGGCAAGAAAAGCGGAAATTTATTTGGAAGCATCCTTGTGTAGTGTAGATTCTGAATTATTCAAATCATGAAGGCGGGCCACATAAGTGATCTACGCTTTATATTGATATATATATATATATATATATATATATATATATATATAAAATCTTCAAAAATCTTCTCAAGAATCATCGGGCCTGAAAATTCGAAAATCGTGACCCCGGGGGGTAGAGCGGTGCCACAAAAGTTGTTACATGGGGTAAGACTGCAGAAGAACAGCATTGCCAAACTTACTGAGGTGAGCGCTTTGGCCCATGGGCCTCTTTTTTAGTTTTGCGTGTTTCAGACAACATTTACACTTGGGGTGCATACAACTTATTCTTTTTGGCAACTGATGAAAATGGAAATACAGCCATGTGCCATAGCAAGCTGTATGTGAAATGTAAGTGTGCAACATATGTGTAATTTTGAAATACTTCAAGTTGGTTTTATTTATAGGTATGATGAAGTTATTTTGAAGGATTTTAAATAATTTTTAACCAGTTAAAACACATTGCTAGATAACGATAATAGACGCATTTCACATTCCTAAGAGTTATCTCCCGTTGTCGGCGTAACGCTCATTTTTCCCTCTTTGTCCTTTGTAAGGTACCTGTTAATGTTTTTAAAATTCAAACGTTCTATGACAATTTTGATATGTACCTGTATTGCCAGAGTATGGGGCAACATGAAAAACATAATGAGCATATTCATATAGATTTTATTTCTAGGATACTGACCCATAAAGTTGGTAAGGTTACAGAGGGAAAACAGCGTCTTACGCCGGTTGACCCCGGATTGACCCCACAAAGGGGAATAACTTTTGTAAATGTGAAAGTCGTCTATAGTGAAATGAACCAAATTCAAACGACTGATTACATGTAAGGAGACTGTCATTTTGCACATTAAAAGTTTTTGAAGAGTTATCTGCCCTTGATGAAAAGAAGAACATTTTTGATTTCTCAAAATTGCTGCGGTAAATAATTCATTTTATTTCATAGTTAAATAAAGAGAGAGTTTAATATGCATATTTTTACCAAGAGATTTGTTAGAAATTCAAATTAATTTACTTTTTAGAATTCATAAAAACATGTGTTGCCCATAGACTTCAATGTGAAATTCAAGGTGAAATTAATTGGACAATAATTAACATTTTGTAAATTCCTTTGGTGGAGCATTTTTATTTGATATCATCTTCAAAATGCTACCATGATTAAAAAATTCGGACCATTCATTTATTAGTTACAAAATATGGTCGTTCTACATTGAATACCTTAAGTTGACTGGTCATTTTAAATATCAATTAGTTAATCATGAGTAACTGAGCGAGTTCTGAAGCCAGAATTATTATATTATATATACGTATATTAAACAAATTTATTTTGCCCTTTTCATGGCAGAATATTAGAAAAAACTAAATATAATAATGAGAAATGTCCGTTTAAATTAAGGACATAAGTAGAAAAGACTTATGATCCGAATAAACTTGAAAATCTAAATATTGATAGAAATTAATAAAAAAAAGCATAAAAAGCTGTCCCTTTGTAGTATTTTAGAATGTTATTCCATGTACAGTAAAACATGCTTGCAACTAAGTGCTTGTGATGGGCTATTTTGCCTCATCTTAAACGTAAAGTGTTATATCCAATATCTTCACAAGATTTTTAATAAACCCACTGGGAGTGACAGTCACTTCGCTATAAGCGTCAATTCGTTATATTCTTCTTCGCTATATGTATGTTTTTCTGTATTCAAGGAAAAAATGAATTCAAGGGAGGTAAGAATTCCTTGTGTAATAGTAAACTATTCTAGTCATATCAATTGCAGCTTTAGTCTAATCTGAAAATTCTGGTCTAAAATTGTCTTTTGGTCGATACAATGACCTTATCAGCAAACGCAACTTAAAATCGAGTTCAGTTATGACGGATGTTTTTCATACTAATTGTTTGTCAATTATTTACACACTGAATTGTCTACGTTTTCCCCGATCATGACAGGGGCACATGGCAGGTGTGACTGGTCAGCAGGGGTTAAAGACTCCTCCATAGAATCTGATTTCATCAGGCACGTAGCATCGTTTTTGAAAGTGGGATGGGGGGGGGGGGCAACCAGAGAAAACATTTTTTTTTACTTACCTGTAAAAGTTGACAAGCAAATTAAAAAAAAATTTTAAAAAATAAAAAATAAAACTAAATTGTTCAAACTAGAGACATTTTCAATAGTAATGGTTATGCTGGAGAAAAAGTGCCCCCCCCCCCCCCCCCTGTTGCTACGTCCCTGTCCATCTCTGATGATTTAGAGATTCGTGTTTGCTCTGCTTGTTTAAATGAACTTTTGAGCTTGAATACTGTTCGGAACCTTCATGTTTTTTTTCTGGTTGCTGAAAAACTTTAAACTACAAATAATTGTTTTAAAAAAATCACATTGCATATTTCAGATAATCCTGACTGTCCTTCACCACGAACGTATTCACCTACATCAATTAAATATTGCTCTTCAAGTAAAGACATATGTAAATTTGAATGCCCTGGTAATCAACAACAATCTCCACCGGCTCCAAGATACAAGATGTGCTCTGAGCTTGGTGTATATAATCCACTCAACCCAAGACAGAAGTTTTTAGTGCCATCTTGTGCAAGTAAGGCCACGGGAATGTCAGATATTTCCAAATTTCTTGTAAAGTACATGAAAATAAAATGGTCATTCTTTTTTAAAATGTCATTATGCACCGCTTCAAATGAAATATGTATTATTTAGAGAACGAGACGTGTTCTGTATCTACCTGTCGAGTTCTCTAAATAATTTGTGACACGATCAATCAAAAATAGCTCCGCCCACTTTATAACTTTGCAGCATCCAAACTTCCGCCAGAGTTCTGTAGATGAGGCCCCGATGGGGAGTACGCATCCGCAGTATATATATTTCCACGGAAAGCGTAAAATTCGGTCAGATTAGTTTTGACAATTTAACAGGGTAGACGTAATCGAGTGATAGTCAGTCTTAATTGATAAGGTGGAGGATTTAACCGTCATTGGTGTGATCTATTGTAGATGGAGATTTCTCATAATTTATTTCACTGAGGGGTCTTAAAATCCCGGTTTAACTAGATTAACAAAAACAGGATTTACAAAAAATTCTTCGATGGACTTTGGTGTCACGGATTTTTATTTTGAAATTGAATTGCGACATTAAGAGACGTGTGGCTGTCTCAGCGAGAAGGATTTTAATAAAATAAAAACGCGGAAAAAATGAACTTGAATGATTTAGCACGAGGAGAGTGGATGTTTTCCGTTATTGCATATTTTCCGTTTCGTTTGGAGCGAAATTACGTACAGAGGATGTTTTCCGTTATTGCGAATTTTCCTTTTACTTTGTATCGAAATTACGTGTAGATTCTGTGTGGAATAAATTTTTTAAAAGTGATTGAGAAATTTTGACATTTTACATTCTCAGGAAAATACCGGGCATTTCTCCAAAATTTATAATAGGAAAACATCAGCATTTACTATTTGTACGTTGGCAAATACAATACTGATACAGGGCTAATACAGAACGGAAAGTAGCTCCGCCCACCACAGTCCCGTTCTGTATTGCTAATACAGAACAGTAAACTTCAAAGAAAAACACCGCTATCGTGTCACAAGAAAAAGTTATATTGTAGTCACCTGTTAAAACACTTTTTTATTACTCAGATCAGGGGGGTGGGAGGATAGAAGTCAGATGATGTGTTCGTAATGGATTTAGTCTATAATGTGTACAACATTTTTCAGATGCCAGCAAGGTAAATATTAAGGTGGAAGTCTCCTTGAGATATTTGTTTGTGGTTACCTGTAGCCCAGTTTTTGAGACATCAATGAGAAGTTCCATACTGACAACTTTTAAAAATATTGTATTTAACAACTGGAATGGTGTGTGCACAACATCTGACTGCAACAATATGGAAATCTTATGTATTTGTGTTCCTGAGAGCAAACAGATGATAGTCACTTTACAAATAAATAATTTAAGGTAATTTGTGCTTTAAAGGAAACGAAACTGTTAACTTTTTATAGACATAGGGAAAATGTATATACTATAATACATATAGTTTAGTATTCATGGTTATAAAAAACTGACTCATGCGTCTCTAGTTTCATTTATTTGTTCATCTTCAAGGCACACAATCACGAAGAAGGAAAATGGATCTGATACATACACACCAAAAGAGGTCTTTCTGTATTTAATTGCTGAAGAAACGGTATTTCAAGCCGAGGTAAGTAATTACAAGGCCCCAGAATCAGGAAACAAAATCTGAGATAATTGTTAATTATGAAATACAAGTTTGCGATTATTAGCAGTTTGGTATTGAAATGTTGAAAAATATTTTATAATTTATGCAACAAGCTTCAGTATACAGCCGTAAGTTAAATTGTTTAAAAAATATTGTAAAATTTATGACAGGAATTTTGTTCATTCTTGAAAACATTTATCAAAAGTTGTCATTATTAACAATTATTTGCCAAACAGAGCTGAAGGAAATTGAATTGAAAATTACAGAAAGAGAAGTATTGAATAAAATGTACATATCATCTTATTCAAAATTTTCAAATTGAAATTGTAGCACATTGGTGGAGCAACGATGCTGAATGACCATTTGGTCGTTAGAGATAGTTTGTGGTGTCCAGAAGATTACATGGTTGTTGGTGATAATTGTGGTAAGAAAATCTATTATATCAACAAATATTATCTTTCTTGGTTTTTTTATTAGAATAAATACAAGAAAATAAACAAACATGCTTAAAATATGTTGTATATCTCATATGATATCCATGTTTAATTAATTGTTAATTGCAGGAAAATACATTTTTTCACGTCTCGAGTATCTTCTTAAGTTTTGCATTTAATTGGATATTTAACGAAGCTCTTAACACTAACAAAGTGTTTTTTGGACTTGGAGAAAAATAAATCATACTGAGGTTTTCTTATTGAAACTATTTAGTTCATTTCCAATTTAGGGTACCTGTCTTATTTAAAGAGTAAAATTGATCAAAGTCAATGGACTATTTGTGATTAGAATTCGAAACGACTAGTGTTTACTTACATTGGGTAAATAAAGGGGGCTGGGGGAGGAGGGGTGTCAACAATTTAATCGTCGGATATAACATATTCATTTGGATATCTTGATTAAGCTGTCAACTATCATTTGGCAAAGAAAAAATTCATATATTTTAGTTTTGTGACACGATAGCGGTGTTTTTCTTTGAAGTTTACTGTTCTGTATTAGCAATACAGAACGGGACTGTGGTGGGCGGAGCTACTTTCCGTTCTGTATTAGCCCTGTATACAGTATTGTATTTGCCAACTATTCTGTATCTAAAATACAGCACGGTCTAAAAATAAATCTGATTCAATTTAGCAAAAGCACGTACAAATAGTAAATGCTGTTGTTTTCCTATTAAATTTTTGAAAAATACCCAGTATTTTCCTGAGAATGTAAAATGTCAAAATTTCTCAATCACTATTTTAAAAACTTATTCCACACAGAATCTTCACGTAATTTCGATCCAAAGTAAAAGGAAAATTCGCAATAACGGAAAACATTCTCTGTTCGTAATTTCGATCCAAACGAAACGGAAAATTCGCAATAACGGAAAACATCCACTCTCCTCGCGCAAAACCATTCAAGTCCATTTTTTTTCGGCGTTTTTATTTTTTAAAATCTTTCTCGCTGACGACAGTCACACCTCTTTCATTTCGTTTTCAAGTCCATCGAAGAATTTTCTGTAAATCCTGTTTTTGCTAATCTAGTTAAACCGGGATTTTAAGACCCCTCAGTGAAATAAATTATGAGAAATCTCCATCTACAATAGATCACAACAATGACGATTAAATCCTCCAATTTATCCATTAAGACTGACTGTCACTCGATTACGTCTAACCCATTAAATTGTCAAAACTAATCTGACCGAATTTTACGTTTTCCGTGGAAATATATATACTGCGGATGCGTATTCCCGTCGGGGCCTCATCTACAGAACTCTGGCGGAAGTTTGGATGCTGCAAAGTTATAAAGTGGGCGGAGCTATTTTTGATTGATCGTGTCACAAATCATTTAGAGAACTCGACAGGTTCTGTATCGTAGATACAAATTTGGGGGTGGAGACTCGTGCTGCGCACTCGTATCCACCCCCAAATATGCATCTACGATACAGAACCCGTCTCGTTCTCTAAATAATACTTAAATTTTGATCAATTTTCTATATCTAAAGATATGGAGCTCTCCTTCTAAAGAAGATCAATATTGTCTGAAAATGCCCACAACCCGTAGTCCTCTTAATGGAAATAAGAAATTCAGTTACTTAATCTTGGTCTAATATATATTGTTAGGAACTTTTTAATACAACATAAATTGTGTAATTAAATGTAAATAACAATTTTTTTCATCATACTTCTGAGGGAAGATCTCTCCAATGACATAAAAGTACCTTAAAAATAAATCTCTATAATGAGCGTGCAGTGTTTAGAGCTGCCTTAAGGGGAAAAAAAACTTGGGATGTGCGTATAAAAAAAAAAGCTAATCATGAATTTTGATATTAAGGCCTCGGTTCTGTTCACTTTGTTGTGATTGATTTATTTATGATATTTTATCAATTTTTAACTTGCATAACTTAAAATTTATGCTTTCACAAAAAAGTAAGACTATCTGTTTTGTTTTACCCTTCTAGTTGAGTGCAGTATAGGAACCTTTTTCAACAGCACAAGCCACAATTGTGAGTACTGTCCTATTGGAACTTATGGAGATCAGTATGGATTGAAGGCATGTAAATCCTGTGAAATTGGAAAAACTACACTAGGACTTGGTAATACTGATAGTACTGATTGTGTCGGTAAGTTTTTGTGACAAAATGAAACTTGCACATCCTAGCTCTATCATTCTGTAAAGTAAATGTATTTTCTCCAGGTTTGGAATATGTATCATGAAAATGGACTACCGTAATCTGAAAATTATCCCCCCCCCCCCCACATTTCATGTATATCTTTTATATTATGTTTTATTTATTTAGTTTATATAAGAAATAAAAAGCTCAATTTCCTGAACTTCTAGTAAAATTCCTAAAATGAAGTGGAACAGCAGGACATTGTCCTATTTTTTTCAGCATTAGCAAATTACAGCTCTCCACCGGCAAGTGGTGTCGTCTCCATATGAGTGAAAAATTCTCGAGAGGGACGTTAAACAATATGTAGTCAATCAATCAATAAAACAGAACGTTAGTTATATCAAAATTTGTTTTTTCCTTGTATTAAGAATTATGGTTTGTTTATCTGTATAAACTGTTTTTAAAAACAGTATTCCTACAACAGTTTTAGTTAAAAAATAGAGACCTACTGTGAGCACTGAGCTTACTTAAATAATAGCACCGCCTTCCATGTGATTGTAATGGCAAAGTTCAAGTTTTGCTCTGGGAGGCCCGGAATTAGTGTCAAATCAAAAAGTAAATAAGGTATTATGTAATAAAGAATCACTGAAGTTATCATTAAATTTTATTGCGTTTTAATGAATAAGTTGTGGGTAAGAGATGGGTACCCTTCAAACCTTCAAAATTATAGAAAGAACGCCTGTGTCCATTTTATGTATTGGAAACCCGAAACATGTGTTTGATCAAAAAGTAAAATAGAAGCTCATAATGGGGCTATGTCTCATAATTTCCATTCTGTGGTATAAGAGGAGTTGCGGATAAGAGATGGGCTTCAGAAAACTAAATTTTAAATTAGATTCTTTAGAGGTGGTAACAACATTTTTATTTTAAAATGTACATATATATTTGTTAAAAGACTTTCATAAGACTTTTTTTTATCAATCTCATCAGATGATTGCCAAGTTGGACAGTTCTGGAATGTTACAAAATGTGCCTTCTGCAAAAAACACTCTTACCAAGATATGACTGGGCAAGACTACTGCTTGCCATGTCCTCCGGGCAAAAAGACAAGTGCAATAGGATCTAACAGCTCCTCACAGTGTTTTGGTTGGTATCTAAATTCCTTTAAAAAAAAGACTCTTTTTTTCACTACCCGGTTACATTCTTGTGATTGACATTAAAGCCACATGTAGTGGAAGTGAGATTTCTCTTTTACTATTATACTAATAGTTGATAAAATAAAAAGCCGGTAATGTGGAGACCGATGTGGAAAAATATTGACTCTTATTTTCTGGAATATTACTAGAATGTTGCTTTCGGTAACTGTTTTCAAAGAAACTTGACTAATGTGTTTAAAATTTCAAAGAAAATGGGTTATGTTCTCACATTGATAGGTAATGGATATAAAGCAAACCTACTGACCAGACATTAAAAGCATTACAATTTTTAAAAATGCTGAATTCTAATCATTTCAAAACAACATTATTGAAAAATTTAGTTTTATTGTTTAATTTTTTTTCTAGACATGAACTATGATACTTCATATCAAAATACCGTATAAGGGGAAATTTTAGCAAGACGGAAAGAATGGATGGACTTAACTGGGACAACGAATTAAAGTTTTATAAAATGTTTATTTCTTTCCATTATATAAATCCCCGATATCCTAAACATATTTTCAAAGTACATATGTGAAATTGAAACACTCTTTTTAAAGAAAACTCGATAAATATCCGAGACATAGGGCCTGAAGATTTCTTGAATATAGATAATCAAGGTCACGCGTTTTTCATCGTCTGAATGTAGTTAGCTTATGTTTTTCGGGTGTTCTTAAGAAAACTGTAGTTGCATATTGAGCAAAATAATGTCACATTAAAAAGAGAAAGAGCCGACAAACGTGCGCTCACGCTTAATTTTACGAAAAACATATTCAAAACAAACTTCACACTTCCTTTGTTATCCCTGCTTTAACCTTGATTTGACTTCGATTGTTTGTTGAATGTTACAACTTATCATATGTGATGTCCACCTGCGAGTGTACTCTTGAAAAGAATTATATTGTATTCTTCATCATGACCTTGATCTAATCACGTTTTGGGACGTGTTTGTTTGCCATTTTCAGAATTTAGCAAATTAAATGTTGTAAATTCTAATATTGCCTGTCCTAATTTTTTTTTTAATTTCATATTGACACCGCTGTTATATACCATACCCGTATTCGAATTTCTAGAGAGAGACGGAGAGAGATGTTGACAATGACACCGATCGATAGCCACGCCTCTCAATATTAATATTGAATACCTAAAAACCATTACGGGTACATGCCAAATCCGGACAGTGACAATCATGTATTGTTGCTTCTATTTTGATTCATGGCGACAAGGCTTTGCTTTTGTACAAATGTTCTACCTAATATAACCAAATGTACGCAACTCCTTCTATTTCTTGTGAAATATTTTGGATTCACTTCGTTTTCATCTTGGTAGAGTACTCTCAAAAAGATCCAAAATATTGCGCCCATTGTTTAGGGATTTCCCCTTAAAATTGGTATTTTATTTTTAGCCAGATGTAATTTTAGCGATTGTAAAATGCTCTCTAAAGAAGCATTTACAAATAAAACATAATTAATTTTTAGCGATATTCAATTTTTGCTATCTCGGAATCCTCGCCGTTTAATGCCAAAATTAAATCTTCGCTAAAATTTCTTCTAATACAGTATTTCATGAAACTCATTTCAGTGATTCATTTAAAAAATACCTGTACCAATAAAGTTTTAAATTTTATAGACTTCACACAAATTTCCAAAAAATAGATTCATTTCATGATTTATATTTTTCTGAAGATTTTCTGAAAATTATGCCATTCAACTGTCATTTTTGAAACAAAACAATTAGCACTACAGTAAAACTCGGTTATAGCGAAGTCCTGGGGACCTGTGAATTTAATTCGCTATATCCGTAATTCGTTATATCTGTATAATGAATTCGTATAACCATTATAGTGAATTCGCAATATGCATGTTTTCCTTCAGGTATTACTACCAAATGTGTTAGGGAAGCAAATATTTTAAAACATATCTTTGATAACTAAGGTTTTACTATGAATTGAATTTTATATACAAATGCTAAAAGGAAATAAAGTTAGTTCAATTTTTTTTTTATAATCTTGGAAAGTTCGTTATAAAAGATGTAAATTTCATTATATTTAACCTCAAAGGGACTCAAAATCAGATCGCTATATCCGTAAATTCGTTATATCAGAGTTCGTTATAACCGTTAAATTTTACAAGGATTTGTTAAGAATTTTGCCGGGGACCCAGAAAAACTTCGCTATATCCGTGAATTCGCTATATCCGTGTTCGTACTAAACGAGTTTTACTGTATATAGTTCTCAACTTAATGAAGATATTATGATAGAGGTGATTATTCTTATCCTTGGTAGTTTCTGGAAAAATGAACAGTATTGTTTTCTAACTAATAAAAATAGTTGAAAATTTGCAAATATTTGGCTCCTGATCCCATCTCTGATGTTTTGGAGGTCCATGTTTGCTCTGCTCCAAATTTGTACTGTTTTATGGATTTTTCATTTTGCATACAGTATGTAATCTCCATCTTTCATTTCAGATGACTGTGGGGAAGGAACAGAACTTAAACCTGATGGAAAATGTATGGAATGCCCGCGTGGATACTACCGTAGTTTTGCAGAGGATGTATGCACCATGTACAGCTGGAATGACTACTATTGGGAATGGGGCTCATAGTCCTTTTGAATGTGTGATAAGTATGTCAAACATGGAGATATTATGCTATAACATTTTTGAAGAAGTTTTCCCAATATATATCACAAATATAATATTTTTATCCATATGCCTTGAAAAACTGCTGAATCACGCCGGATATAGTTATATTTCACCGGAAACAGTTATATTGCCCTCAAGAACACAGTTATGTTCCATCGCGTGCAAGCATTCTGCATATTAAATACGTTGGGTTTGAAATTCACAGAGGCAGTTGCTAAGCAAACGTGAACAGTTCCGCGAAAATTAAAAAAAAGTCGGGACAACTTCTGCGATTTGTTTATCTGAATTCAGAGGAATTAGATGATTTGATTGAGGAGAAAAAATTCTTAAATACAACATACTCAAAGTAGGTTATCAACACAAGTGTCAGTATACTGATATTTCGGAATGATTCTCAACGTACATGTGTACATAGTGTTCAATAAATATGTTCGATGATCGATTATTGTTCAATGTTTAAAAATGTTATATGCCATATATTACATGGCTTAATTCTCGGGCAGCAATACCAGAATATTTGCCCCAAGGTGACAGGAAAGCCCTGGGGTGTTATGTCGCCCTCTGCCTTCGGCATTGGGCGACATAACACTCCAGGGCTTTCCTGTCACCTTGGGGCAAATATTCTTGCCTGCTGCCCTCGAAGCCATGTAATATATGACCAGACAATTGGTCATACCTGTTTTGCCAAAGAGAAAATAAATAGAAATGTGTTTTCAATTACTTGATTGACATAAGGCTTTAACTCATTGGGAAAAATACTTTAGTTCATTGCAGTTATGTGCTTTACCACAGAGGCTGGTTGTTTGATATATTGCCATTTCTATTCTTTTTTTCTCAGTGATAACTTTTTGAAATTTTGTAAATTTGATTTCTTGATCATTCTACCGGCATGTAAATTTCGCTAAGCGATACGACAGGGGCTAAGAAGGTCTGCTGTGCATGTAAATTTCGTGCGTCTGTCTTTGTGTCTGATACTAAGGAGACCTATAATATGCATGTTAATCTCGTGCAGCTGTCTTTGTGTCTGACGTCAATGGGCGGGAACTATTGAAATGAAATTGATAGGCCTCGTGTAATTTAAATCTATTTGTCTTCATTTTTAAAATCGAAATTTTGAATTTTAAATGAAAAGGAAATATAAGGAATCACTGTTTAGTTAGTAGAGTATATATTAGAGCAAGGACATCAACGATACATGTAGTTGGAAACGTGGGATAATTTTTTTGCGTAATGGGCTTCACCCCATATGCATAAATTATCGGACGTTTCCATCTTTCGTTGATGCCCTGGCGTACTTTACTAACTAGACAATGATTTTTTACATACCGCCACAGGTCCACGTGATCATAGATCAATATCCTCCCAAAAAAATCTTTGAAATACACATGATTTAACGTTGAATTTCTTTAAAGATGTAAAAGATTCAGAGAAGAATGCAAAATTTGGCTACATACTAATAGTCCTACATACTGTCACAGTGTGATTTAAATTGATGAAGGATATGGAGATAACGAACAGTATTCAATCTCAAAGTCCATAAAACAATACAAATTAGGAGCAGAGCAAACACGGACCCCCGAAACATCAGAGGTGGGATCAGTTAGCATCCCCTGCCGACCGGTCACACCCGCCGTGTGCTCCTTGCAATGATCAGGAATTATTGGAAAAATCCGTCGTCAATTCAGTGTATAAATACTGGACTAACAATTGATATGAAAAACGTCAATCAGCATTTGACTCAATGATAAATTGTATTTGCTGACAAGGTCATTGTATCGACCATAGAACTTACGAAATGATGACTTTAAACGAGACTCTGATATTCTTGTTTCATCAACTTGCTTTTCAATGATTTACCTCGTTTTATGTTAAATAGAGTAAGAAAAAGATTCACTATATTGCCTTAATAAGTCAGACTCTGTGAATTACCTTTCGTAAAAATTGTAGAAACAAGGGATACGTCTACTTTTCCCTCAACTACAAATGAAGAAGTAACCACCAATGGTGATAAAATACCACATAACTCCACAGGAGAGAAAAACACAGATGACAGTGACTTCAATCCTTCTATAGTTATTCTTACAATCAGTGGCCTTATCATTATCATTTTGCTTACTGTGATTGGAATTCTGCTGAGGAGAAGATTTCAAAAGGCTGCTTTAAAGAATTCAAAGTAAGAACCAGAACTCTTTTGAAAATTCAGTACCTTGAAATTTAAGAATCTGATCGACTTCCTACCTTACAGTTTCAAAAATATAATAATGAAATTTATGAATGGCTTATACTCTGATTTTCAACGTTAACTCGTAAACTTCCTTATTTTCTAGTTAGATAGCAAAGGTTTTGTAGGATGACGTTTTAACTTATCAAAGTTCTATTACAAAGAAATTATGAACAAAGCAGTCAATCAAATTGACTTTGGTATAATTTTATGATTTTTTTTCTTGTTGGGGGGGGGGGGGGGCATTTAATTATGCTTTCAGTATCAAAATAATGACTTAATACATGTAAAAAGTTACGATTTGTTTTAAAATAGCATTTTTGGTCGGTTTATAAAAAAGCAGTGTTACTCTTTATGCGTTAGGGAATTATTTTCATCATTCTGGTATGCACCACCGATAAATATTTGAGACCAATGTGCATCTAGTTAGTAATAAATAAGTAAAACGACCTTAAATTGACCATCCTTGAACTACATTGAAGTCTTCTCACCTTAATAAAACTTTTTAAAGAAATTTTTGAAGTCATTACAAAACTGCAATACATTTATATTCACATCAAGTCAATTAAATCGATCTTTTTGCAGCTACACCGATCAGACCTTGGAAGTTCAGGAACCTGATAAACATTCATATTCTCAGCTGAATGTGTTAAATGAAAATTTTGAGTATGATGAAAATGGAGGTTATTGGGAGTTGGATTCTATACATCAAGTAGATACTGTATCTGCACATGTAGAGGGAACAAGGACTGACTATGAAAATGACACAGAGAGGCAACTTTCAGATGAGCCTCATGTTTACACAGACGTACATGTTGAATAAGAAATGCTCATGAATACAATATCAGAGAATGGCATAGTTGTATGATACATCAACATATTACTCGTGGTTTAAATTATATATGACAATAATTATTATTAAATATTACATAATTTTTTCTGCGTAAAAATGAAAAGTCCCACCCATTTCAAATTGTAGATACACATAATTTGAACATTCTTTGTTTTATTTTTAGAATATATTTGCAGTGAAGGTCTTCTTAATCTAAGATTCCTATGTTTATACTTGTACTGAGCCCCATGGGTCCCCGACTAAAATCTGAAAAAACATTTTCCTTGGGCGGCTATTGATTTTAACCTTTTTTTTAAATATGAACATGTCAAGGATGATGTAAAATTTGTGCATTCCTTCCTTTTAAGAATCAAGTTTTGAGAAGATGGCATGTTATGAATTATTTCAGAAGATGAATCCATCTTTGCCCACAACCAGCTGTAAACATGTATGTCCTTTAGATTAGAACAAAAAAAACTATTTTTTTAATACAATGCTATCTCCTTCCATTTTTCAAAATAAATTTTACCGACTCGACCCTTAATTGAAATCTGCTTTGGATCTGCTTCGGACATGTACAATTTTTAATATTGCATATAATTTTGAACAAAAGTTTATAAATACACGTACATATAAGCAAAAGCTAAGATTTGAGTTGCAATTTTATTTTTATTCTATATACTAAAGTAATACATATAATAGTTAACTGTTTACTGCACCTCATTTAAATCTAATATAAGTCATGAAATGTGGAAATAACCAGCTGTATTTCCGCTTAAAGTCCATGACCCCCAAAGGGCCGCAATGGACAGTCAAAGTTTAACATAGGAATGCATGGGGAAAATCTTTACAAAGCTTCTCTAGAACCACCCAGTCATGAATGGTAATATTAATTTGGAAGCATCCTTAAATAATGTAAATTGAAGTGTGTTTAAATCATGATCCCAAGGGTAGGACGTGGCCGCAATGGACAATTATATATTAATATAGGAAAGCATGGGGTGATCTTCTCAAGAACAGCAAAGCCATGATTAGTCATATTTATTTGAAACAAGATATGTTTGTGAAACACTATGCGCCCGGCGGCAACAAAAATCGGAAAAGCTACTTTTAGCATACTAGCATAGGTAACAGTCAAGGTCACAATGTCATTGACCTTGGTGTCATTTGAAAGAACTTGATTAGTGGAGTATGTACACCAAATATGAAGTCTCTATCTTTTATGGTTCAAAAGTTATGGTGAAGGTACGAAATAGCTATTTTTAGCATGTAGGTCACAGTCAAGGTCACTAGGTCATTGACCTTGGTGTCATTTAAAAGAACTTAATTAGTGTAGTATGCATACGAAATATGAAGTCTCTATCTTTCATGGTTCAAAGTTATGGCGAAGGTTAAAGTTTGCAGACAGAAAAGCTATTTTTAGCATAGAGGTCACATTCAACGTCACAAGGTCATTAGTATTGGTGTCATTTGAAAGCACCTAATTAGTGAAGTATCCAGACCAAATATGAAGATTCTACCTTTCATGGTTCAAAAGTTATGGCGAAGGTTAATGTTTGGAGACAAACAAATAAACAGACAGACAGACAGACAGGACAAAAACAATATACGCCTCGGATCTATCGATCCGGGCGAATAAAAATCCTTAGGTAATGTAGTTTCAAACTTGTTCGAATCATGACCCCTTGGGGTAGGGTGGGGTCACAATGGATGATCAAAGATTTACTTAGGAATACATAGAAAATATCATTTAAAAATCTTTTTTCAACAACAGCATTGTTGGTCAAATTTATATGGAAGCCCCCGCAGGTAGTGTATATTCAAAGTAATTCAAATCATGCCTCTTCCCTTTTATGATAAGTTGATACCACTCATGAAATACTGAACTAGCCAAAGTGCTAAGATGAGCGATGTGGCCCTTGTTTATTTGTATGTCCTCTTTATAATCAACTGCGAAGTAAATATTGTACACTGTATATCATTAAATCCATCAGATGTTGAATCAACAAGAAGTATTTGTAATCTCATGCTTACGTGATGCATTTAGCATAAGAAAATCTTATTTTCACTTGTATCACTTTTTTGTATTTGAAATTTCTATGTACTTTTTTCAATTACATGATATATAGTAATATTTAATGAGAGGAACAAGTACAGATAAGTTGCAAGAACGTGTTCCAATCATTTTGCTTTATTCAATAAATGTGTTCAAAACGTAAGAAAACATGTTATTTTATTTGTATAGTGTCTAGTGTATGTATGACTTGCGCAACGTAGTTTTGTCAATATGCAATATACTCACTAAATGATATTTATGGCACGCCAAATTCACAAAAATGAGCTAAACATAGTTTCACAGTCGATAGATTTATCGGTTGTAAATTATAGTTTACGGACTGTAAACTAAAGGTAACGTCATTCTATATTTTACATCTGTAAACCATAGTTAACGCGATAATCTATGTTTCGGAACCGTAAATTATACTTAACACTGAAAATAATTACATGTATTTGCGATTGCAAAACATAGATTATCTGATGAATACAGTTTCACGATTTGCAAACTATGGTTTACAACTCTTAACTATAGTTTACGATTGTAAATTATAGTTTACAGACGTGAATCTATGTTTATCAACAAAATCTACTGTTAACATTTTATTGCAGACAGATAAACTTAGCATTCGTAAACTATAGTTAACAATCGTTCAATATAGTTTTACAGATTAAAACTATAATTAACGAATAGTTAACTTTAGTTCACGGTTTGTAAACTATAGTTTACAGTCTATAAACTTAGTTTATCAACTGTGAAACTATGTTTAGCTCATTTTTGTGAATTTGGCGTGCCATAAATATCTAAATTATAGGATATGTGGATAAGAGATGTGTACCCCAAAGCGTAACAGATGGACGTACAGACAGACGGACATCCCGATTACTATATACTCTCCCGCTTTTCAAGCGGAGGGTATAATGATCTTTGAATCGTATCTGCCAAAACCTTGCCGTATCTGGATTTAACCGCTGTATAAAGGATTTTTAAAGTGATACATTAATTAGTACTGTACAAGTGTGTCTTCCCTTACCAAAATACTCACCTTCTGGCAAAATCTTCTGGCATCATTGCCACAATATTGTAGAAACATTCTGGCAATACACTGCAGCAATATAGCGGTAATATCGTTTTTCGTATGTAAATTAGATTCGCTGCAATATTGCCAGAAAAGTGTTGCGGCAGAATTGCAGCAATATTGTAGCAACATTCTGGCAATACACTGCAGCAATATTGCGGTAATATCGTTTTTCGTATGTAAATTAGATTTGCTGCAATATTGCTAGAAAAGTGTTGCGGCAATGTTGCTGCAAAGCAATTGTAGTACATGTACAATTAACAAACTGTGCTGAGGAATATAACAATCAATAGCAAGCCATAGGGTCAGTGAGAATAAGCTACTTCTGCTATTCTTTGAACAGATAGAAAAATTATGTTGATCATCATAATAAAAATCAACATATTTTTGTGAAACAGTACGTGCCAAGGTCATAAGGTCAATGATCTTAGTGTCATTTCAAAGAATTTAATTAGTGGAATATGCATACAAATATGAAGTCTCTATCTCTTATAGTTCAAAATTTATGGCAGAAGTTCAAAGAGGCTCTTTATAGCATATCAGTCACAGTAAAGGTCACAAAGTTATTGACCTTGTGGTTATTTGAAAGAGCTTAATTAGTGAAGGGCGCATACCAAATACGAGTTCTCTTTCTTTTATGGCTCAAAAGTTATGTCGAAGGATTAAACAATCTATTTTAAGCATATGGGTCACAACCAAAGTCACAACGTCATTGACCTTGGTGTCATTTGAAAAAGCTTAATTAGTGAATTATGCATACTTAATATAAAGTTTCTACCTTTCATGATTTTAAAGTTATGGTGAGTATTCGAAAAAGCTATTTTTAGCATATAGGTCACAGTCAAGGTCACAAGGTCATTGACCTTGGTGTCATTTGAAAGAACTTAATTGGAGTATGCAAACCAAATATGAAGTCTCTATCTAGCTCTCATTGGTTCAAAAGTTATGGTGAACTGGTTAAAGTTTACAAACAAACGGACAGGACAAAAACAATACTGTAAATCACTTTTTATTCGCGAGAACTTTATTTTCGCGTAATTACGCGAGACAGTGTGCTCGCGAAAATTTAATTCTCGCGTAAAATAGTATTCCTTAAGATTATATAGACCAATAACCACAATTCGTTAAAATTTTGTCTCGCTAATCCAGAGTCAATGACTATCTCACAAAAATATGGTGTCGCGAAAATTTAGTGATCTACAGTATGCACCCCCGATCTATCAATGCGGGCGCACAAAAATGTGTATAGAAACAATATCAATATGCCACTGTGAAAATGTCAAGCAACTCTGCATTAATTTTCAAATAACCTAGCTTAATTACATATTACCAAATGCCCATCAGTATAATATATAATAAAGCTTGTTTGTAATTTCCAACATATATAAATTCAGTTTTCTTTCAGGTATTCAAATTTATGCAATCAATTATAACTACATATGTTCAAGCATTTAACTCAGATAACATGCATTCATCTTTTCCTGCAACACCAGGATAAAATACATTTGTATAGACATACAAGTCTAGTATACATGCATCACAAGCACTAGTTGAAACACAAATAATTTTTCCAATTTTATCTCCATAGAATCATTCATCTCAAAAAGAATATGGTTTTGACTCACATAGTCTGATCATTTGGAAGCAGAGTAGACATTCCTACAATTCTGCTGAAATTCTTTTTTCTAACCATTCCACATTATGCAGTCTTACTATTCATCTTGTCTAATCCCACTGTACACAACAACTCTAATTAACTTGATACAAGTCAGTAATGAAGCAAAACATGCTTGCCTTTAAATTTCCTTCATTTTATTTTAAAAAGGAAGTAAATGACTTAGCATGCTCAACATTATTGACTCATGGGTAATCCTAGGTGTTGCCAGAAAGTTTTTTTCTGGCAGTATTGCCAGAATGTCACCAGAAGTTGTTGCAGCTAGCGGTGATTTTTCACTAAATGTGTTGCTGCAATGTTGCCGCAATATACCAGTAGCAGCAATATTGCTGCAATAATTTTACTTTGGTAAGGGTTAGTTCACAGACGCTTGAAGTTTTTAACCTTTATTTTGATAAATAAAAAATTTCCCCTACTATAATTTTAGTATTGGGATTTTTTTTTTATTTATGAAAATTAATATTAAAAACGTCAAACGCCCTACGAAAGCCTCTGTCTTAATTATATAAATAACATTCATTCAAGTGACATCCTTTGTCAAACGTGAATATGTAACATGGAATGTGCTACAAATTTTATGTCCCTTTCTTTAACACATTTGCATATTGGAAGGTAAACACACACGCTCGATGAGGTAATTGACATTAATTAATTCTTAATATGATAAACTCTTGCTAGTAAATTAATTTTTTTTCTGACATATACAAGGAAATTTATCCGAATTTCTGATTTTGTTATTTTTACGTCTTCAAAATATATCTGTTGTTACTTCGAAAAATCGTCAAAGGTAGTAAACGTACAGGTATACATTTGCATAAGAAAATAAATAACATTCTTGCGTGGAATATTATTTCTTCCCGGAGTAATTTGAACCCCTGTGTGTGTCGTTTTGTCCCAAATGAAAGTTACTCATTTGAAATGATGAATTGATGAATGGATCAATTTACTTTTTTTTAATTTTGTGTGACATGAATTATAGGTAAAAATTCTATTCAAATAAACTTTGAAGTCCATTTTTCTAAAGAAAATAAATTTATTAATTTAACAGAATCAATCCACCCCTTTACATTTCCGTGTTTTACATCACACTCATAAATAGGTGTAGACAGACAGGTGTGCACAGGTAAACAAATATTCTTCTATTTTATTTTTTTAAGGTCATCTCCGAGATATTTACTTTATCAGAATGAAATGTGTATAGGGTGGATTAGTTTTTCAAACAATTCTAACAAAGCATTACATTTTGCATCGATTTTTCTTCTTTTTTATATTATCAGATAATTTATCGACTGAAAGGAAGAATCCATTTCGGTTGGAAATGGAGATTCCGGAACAACTCCTGGTATGTGGATTTTGTCATAACAGTTTGGAGTCACCAAAACTTTTACCATGTCTTCACACTGTATGTGGGAACTGTCTGGCAACGAAAAGGGAAGGCTTAACGAAATGTACAACATGTCAACAACCAATAGAGGGACTCGAGACTGTACCATCCCTACCCGATGATAAATTCAGTAAAAGTCTCATTGATTTCGCCCGAATTCCAAATGAAACTGACGAGGAGACAAATGAATCTCTTTCAAAGGTACTGAAAGAGCTTGAAACGCAACAAAACGCAGTGTCTATCGACCTGAAAAAATTGAGGGTTAAGTCAGAGGAAGCGAGTTTTGAAGCATTTAAGAATGAAAGAGATTTCTTCAAGTTGAAGAAAAAAGCCGAAAATGAAATTAAGCTTAAAATAACGGACTTAAGAAAACGGTTCGACAAATACCTCCTGGATAAAGAAACTGAAATGATGGAAGAACTAGACAATGCCTTGAATGACGAGGAGTTTGATCTTTCGCAGTCGGTAATTTGGAATCGTTCAGTTATGGGGTCCATTGAAAACAAAGAAGAACTGCTGAATAAGTGTAATCTGCAATCCTTAACCTCGGCACCCAAAGCTATGGCATACCAGAGGGTCTTAACGGAAATGAAAGACCACATATCACATATTGGAGGATCCATCTCAAAGAAAAGTCCTGCAAAATTGGAAGTCAGTTTCAAATACAACTCAGATATTGATAATGTGTTTACAAAACCAGTAGGAAGTATTGAGATTCGGAAATCTGGCAACAGTAAAGAAGAAGAAGAAGAAGTCAAGAGAATGTTGCCCACAGCACCATTTGAAAATGCTCCCTACAAAAATGCGGTATACCTTAGAACATTCCCCTCTCTTTTACCCGAGGATAGCAAAGGGTATGTTGTAGGGATAGCATGGGTACCTACCGACCGTCTAGTTCTTGCCGACAAATGGAACGGGAAACTGAAGCTATTTCACGAGAGTGGTCGTCTCATAAACGTGATGGTATTTGCAGGAGGAGAGCCGACAGACATTGTATACACCAAGGGCTCAAACATCCGTCATTTATGCCTCATCACCATTCCAAGCGGGAGACTTATTATGCAAGTTGCCGTCGAGGAGAATATCATGAGGCTGTCAAGCCGTATTGCAACTGTAACGGGATACTCCAGCATTGCATACGATAAGGTTTGCTCTAAACTTATCTGTGGCGTCTGTCAGCCCTACGGAACTCCAAGAATTGATATTGTCAGCGCGAATGGAGTGGTAGAGTTCACCATTGCCACCGATTTACAGCGAAGACCTCATTTCATCTGCCCTCGTTCTATCGACATTTTTCACGGTATCATTGCTGGCTGCGATTGGCAAAAGAATCGCATTTTGTTCATTGCACGTGACGGGTCAATCCGAGGGTCGTATTACGGAAGCCCACAAGCCCCGCTTTTGAACCCTGTCGGCACCACACTGGATGGCAGGGATCATCTTTTGGTAGCAGACTGTAAAAGAAACAAAATTCACATCGTTTCTTCTTCTGGCGATCACTTGGGATGTTATGATACCAGTGATCATGTCAAGGACCCTCGCGAGATTAACGTTATAGCTCACGAGAATTCAGCGAAGTTGGCAATTTCTCATGGGGCGGGATATGTGAGCATATACCAACTTGCTGACGCTCTCCCTGAAGAGATTCTAAAGTCAGGTTCGTCAGAGGGTTCATACAAACAATGAATTTCACAGGGCTTAGTGAAATCTCAGTCGTATAGTATGGCATTATGAAGAGACCCACGATAACTTTATATAAAATTACATATTAATTTTTATACTGCAAATAGTACAAGCTTTTGCCAGAGGAGGTTCTGCAAATTTTACAAACTTAAGTTGATATTTTTTAATTCATTTTGTATGGATTTGGATGTATTTCTTGGCGCTATTATCTGACGCACATATAAATATAATACTTAGTATTCATTTGGTATTGTTATCAATAAAGATTTATTACACTAATTTTGACAAAATTATTTATATTTTAAATACGAAGAAAGTAATAAGTTTCGAACGAGACCTTTTTTCTTGTGCAAAAATGACCCAGCATGCAGTAGACAGTCCTTATCCACATTTTACTGTACGCCTCTAAATCGAGGTCAGCAAAACAGCGCAAATACCTGACTCGATCTGGCAGAGGAATCAAAGCGCTATACAGCATACAGGTGGATATTTATACCGACTGTGTCCACTGAACTGGATAGAACAGTCACAACCTTGACGTAGGTCAAAGGACCTAAAGGTATGCATTGTAGACGCCAACCCCTGATAGTTCTAAAGTAAAATTCCAATTCTACGGAACACTGTTCTTGTTAAAAAAGAATCAGTATATTGCGAAAGAGGAATTTTCACATATTTTTTTTTATTGTAAAATGTTCATAAATGATAAAATGTTTTTTTTTTAAATGATATTTTGCAAGCAGTTTTGAATGCAAAAAATTAGATAAATAAATAAATAGGTAAATAAAATTTGCATTACGCATTTTATTTACAGAGCCATGTCTGTAGAGTGGGTTATAAAGAATGCAGCTAAAACGGTAGGGGAAGGGCCCCACTGGGACAGTGCTACCAATACATTACTGTACGTAGATATTTACGATAACGCTATTCATAGATATAATCCAGCAACAGGATCAGACGAAAAAATTAAACTGGGTAAGAGATGATGTTTGTAAACCCAAAGGTATGGCTGTCCATATAGACCTTTACCGTAATAATTTGACCGTTTCATAAAGTGTGAATTTTAGTGAATATATTATAAGAAACGGCCAATTAAATCTGAATAATGACTGAATCCAGTGCAAAATGTTTCTTTTATAATAGCATGCCTTTATATTTTGATATCTTATATTTTAAAAAAAATCATTGAAAAGGAAAAAAGGAATGAGATATCCCGCTTCAGATGAAATTTTCCGTATTACGACGCCTTTGAGGAGTAATATGAAAATCGGACACGCAATTCCGTTCGAAAAACGGCGGCGAAAAACGGTTTGCTTAGGCAGTTTAGTTTAATTTCTTGTAACGATATTTTATGTTGATTATTATTGAATTAAAACTTGATATTTTCACAATATGCTCATATACATTTTTTGATATTTTAAAAAGTCTTCTGCGGGATAATTCGTAACACAGTCAGTTAGTGACCTAATACGGAGTCATACAGGTTGTGAAATGGAAATCCGTATTGGGAACGGATTTCCATTTCATACCCTGTATGACTCCGTATTTAGGCCCTAAATGAGTTTGTAACTAATAATACTTTATGTAAAAACTACAAACTAAAAAAAAATCATCTAAAAATAACATAAAGTTGAGGGGGTTTTGGGGTTTTGGAGAACATTTTGGACCAACACTTAAAATTTTCCATTGTTGTTCAAAACGTCCATCTTTTGATATTTAGTCAAATAACTGATGAGGATGTGTAATTGCTAAATCTTCATGTTGCAGACGGTACAGTAGGTTTCGTAGTTCCCGCCAAAAAAGGTGGATTGATAGCAGGAGTGGGTCGTTGTCTAGTTCACGTAGACTGGGACACAAAGAGGACAACCAAATTACACGAGGTGGATAAAGGTCTAGAGACACGCTTTAATGATGGAAAATGTGATCCGAGAGGAAGAGTCTGGGCAGGTGTGATCAGTTTTTCTTTTGTTTAAACTTTATTGTACATGTACCTCTTTTTTCAACAGGGATGGCAATCGATAAGTTTTCATGAAAAGTTTATAAAGTTCATATTGTTGTAAACTTTGATTTCGAGTTCACAAGCAGGTAATGCTGTTCCCCCGACAGTATTATAAATTTAAAAAAAAAAAAAGATGTAATATACAATTTTTGTTCAAATGAAATACACAACTGTCTACATATCTCTCTCACACACTCTTCGATTTTTTTTACATTGAAGTTTGGAGATAACAAATATTTATCAATTGAAAAATCTGACTGTTATTCCTTATATTTACATTGTATTTATTCCGCCAATCCACGTGCAAGAAGCCCCGCTAGCGCTTATTGTCTCTTTTTGTCCCGCCCTGCACGTGATTTTTTTTTAACCGCGCCTATCGATGAACCAGTACATTGATGGAAAAATAAAGTACATTTAACTATCATTGGTGCCAAAAGCAAATTGAAAGTTGGGGGGGGGGGGGGTGGCTAATCGAAAGTGGGCGGGGGGGGGGGGGCGGCTAAACAAAAAAAAAAAGTACCGGTAAATCCCAATTTTCAATGCCTATATAATGTCTATTTTTACAAAAAATGTGTGTGTGGGGGGGAGGGGGTTAAACTCCCTCCCCCGGTTCCGATACCTATGAGTCAATTGGCATTTTATCTCGATAAAAGACATTGGAAATGTAAATATTCTCTGGTAAAATGATAATAGCTTAAAAATTCTCTTCTTTTCTAGGAACAATGGGACCTGTAGTACCGGATGTACCCAACATGAAGAAAATAGGCAGTCTGTATTGTTTAGATCTAGATGGCACGCTGCGCACGATGATTAAGGATGTAGGAATTTCAAACGGACTAGCTTGGTCAGAGGACGGAAAGTCGATGTATTATATCGACTCCACTCCACGACAACTTTACAGATATGACTTCGACCCTTCCACAGGCAGCATAGGTAAAATTTAAAATATTTAGATAGAATATTTTAAACGTAAACCAATAATGATGATAAATGATTTTTTTTCATTTGAAAAATAATCTGATATTAGAAATGTATTCCTACATGTATATCATAAGTTAAAACAAAAAAAGCTATAAAAACTTAACCTATTTCTCTGTTTGGAGAATGAATAACATATATGTAACGGTATGTCATGTCTAGTAGGGGGTCAGTGAAAAATATAAATGGTTTCAAATAGTTAATTTGTATAATTTAGCAGTCTTAAATGCGACATATCTGCTCTTTGGTAAATATATATGTTTTTATATAGTTTTTAGCTCACCTGAGCCGAAGGTCTGACCCAAGTTTTACATAGAAATATATAGGAAAGTTCTTTAAAAATCTTCTTTTCAAGAATAGCAAAGCTATAATTGATCATATTTATATGGAAGCATCCTCAAATGGTGTAGATTCAAGTTTGTTCAAATCATGACCCCCGGGGGTAGGGCGGGGCCAAAATGGCCGACCAGAGTTTACATAGAAATATAAAGGAAAAATCTTTAAAAATCTTCTTCTCAAGAATAGCAAAACCATAATTGATCATATTTATATGAAAGCATCCTTAGGTGGTGTAGATTTAAATTTGTTCAAATCATAACCCCCAGGGATAATGTGGGACCTAAATGGCCAATAAAAGTTTTACATAGGAAGATATATATATATATATATATATATATATATATATATATATATATATATATATATATATATATATATATATATATATATATATATATAACTTTTAACATCCTCTTTTCAAGAACCACTGGGGCCAGGAAAGATGAAACTCATGTGAAATTATGCTCAGGTAGTGTGGATTCAAGTTTCTTCAAATCATGACCCCCAGTGGTAGGAGGGGGTTAAAATGGCCTATCAAAGTTATACGTAGGAATATATTGGGAAAACCTTTAAAATAATCTTTTCAAGTACTTCAAAGCCTTGATTAGTGATACTTATATGGAATCATCCTCAGGTAGTGTAGAATCTAGGGGTTAGCCCTAGAGTGGGGCCACAATGGCTGATCAAAGTTTTACATAAGAATATAAAGAAAAAAATCTTTTCAAGTTCTTCAAATCCTTGATTAGTGATACTTATATAGAATCAACTTCAGGTAATGTAGAATCTAGGGGTTAGCCCTAGAGTGGGGCCAAAATGGCTGATCAAAGTTTTACATATGAATTTATAGGGAAAATCTTTAAAAAAATTTCTTCTCAAGAACAGTGGAGACACGAAAGGTGAAACTTATGTGAAAATATCCTCAGATAGTGTAGATTCAAGTTTATTCAAATCATGACCCCCGGGGGTAGGGTGGGGGCAAATATTGCTGTTCAAAGTTTTACTTAAGAATATATATGGTAATCTTTATTAAAATTATATTCTCGAGTACTTCAAAGCCATGATTAGTTTCAGTTCTGATCTGATATGTTCTTTTTCCTAGCCGATGTGCTCAGGTGAGCGATGTGGCCCCTGGGCCTCTTGTTTAAAAATGTTTTCGTGCATTAAATCAAAATGAACATTCCATTATGTACCTATCATATTGAATATTAGAGACTGTTACATGAAGCTTGAAAATATTGCTCTTTCACTATTATCCTTCTCACTCTAGACAACAAAACTGTAATCGTTGACAATTCTGGTAAGTCAGTACCAGAGTTTGGTTTACCAGATGGAATGACACTAGACACAGAAGGAAAGGCATGGGTCGCCAATTTTTTCAGCAAAAAGGTTGTCCGTTATGACACAAACACTGGTATGTTGATATTTGATTACGGACCATTTAATTTTGCTAGAATTGTTCCTCTTACATCCTGACTAGAATACAATTAAATTGCACTAAAGCTTCTTACATAAAGCGATGTAATGAATGACCAGTGGTTTTTCCATATTGCAAAATATTATAGATCTATAAATT